AGCCTCTTCATTAATCAAAAGAAACTATTTTTTACACAATTCATCCCTGTAATCTTGAAAGGCATTCACTTGAACAAACTTGTTAGCCCTCTATCACAGCATGCTAAAGGCCATATATCATGACTCTAGGTATATTGGTTATTCATATGAAGTTGTTTAAAGTAAGAATAAGATGGCAGATGGAGAGTCAGAGGACTTATCCTGCACAATCCCAGTCTCACTTTGCCCTGCAAGTGGAGGGTCATTATTTTACTGTATCCATGGAAACATATTAGGAGCAAAAAAAAATGAGAATAAAATATAGTTTTAACATTTTATTTGCATGTTAACCAACAAAATGATATGCATAGATGCTGTTTGTGGCAAATGTTGAGTCAGACTTTCCCCTATTTCACAGACGTACTCTCAGACATAGTCATTATATGTTCTCCTGCATTGGTAGACTTTTTAGATACAAAATATATTGTCAATTCAACACAACACTGAATACAAATTCATATATTAAGTAGTACATTTTACATGTACATACATATAAATATCTTCAATTTAGCTAGGAAATGCATATAAATATATTGTAATTAATCCATACAAATAGAATACAAAGAAATGAAATGGTTGACTGGTGTCCATAATATTACATGTATCAGTGATAAGTTCACTGATAACTGGTATGGAAGGTTTTTCGTATGCTAATTGATGATTTCTTCCTTTTTCCTTCTTTTTTCTCTCTCTCCCAATGATTACATATAAGTATTTACTTGCTAAATTAAAGAGTCTGTACCTGGTGTGTACATCCTTTACCTACAGAGTATCAGGAAAGTTTCCACTTTTCAGTCAGTATTACTTAAAACTTCTGTCCATTGATTTTAGAGTTGTACATGTTACTATGGTCTCATAAATTTACGTAAATATACACTTTTTATTTATTTTACAACAATCGTGAAACACTTTATTTCAAATTATATCAATCACTCATGTTGGCCTGGATTTTAGCGTGCGGAGGGTCTAAATGTGGGAGTAAACTGGAGTACCGGTAGAAAACCCACGTGAACGAGCAGGTGACCCCATACCTTTTCACATCCAATCAGGGAATCGAACCCCGGTCGCCTTGGTGAAAGGTGAGTGCGCTATCCACTGCGACCCCAACGACCTCAAATTTACGTACATTTTTATATGTATACACTAGTATTAAAGTCTCTTCACAGTTATGTTTTTGTTTCATGATGTGACAGTCATAACTATGTTATCAAATATAATATTGCTGTATAGGGAATTACAGTAAAATAATCTCTGTAAGGAAATGACTGTACAACAATTATTCACACAAAGTTAATCTTTCCATAAGGCAATCAAAAGTTAAATCCAGATGCAATTAATTCCATCCTAAGGCATTGAATTACAAACAATGTCAAGAATTACACAAAGTCAGATTCACGGTCAAGGTGTAACAGATTTGTAACTGCCTCATCAACCTCATTTGCATCAATTACAGTAGGTGAGTGCTGTCACACATCAGCTAGATTTGTACTTGTCAAGTACAGGTCAAAATGGATGATTAAACTATACAGTCCCCTTTTAGAGTATTAATTTGTTGTATCTTTTAGAAAAATAGTAAAAGATTTGGGAAGTTTCTTGCTAAGTGATTCCTGGAAATAGTACTTGCAAGGGGAATATTTTAATAGAGAGAAACTGAAACAACTGCAATGATTTTTTGCTACTAATATGCACTTTTTAGACAGGTACGTATCAGATCTTACTAGATTCTATAATGACAGGGATGTATAATTTGCGCACCTGACGAATTGATGAGTATGTGGTAATGAATACATATTTTTAATCATGAAAAAAGTGCTTGATTGTGAAATTTTCTGATCACTATTTATAAATATACCTATATAGGGCATAGGCCTACATTGTACTTCTAGCCTCTAAAACAACACTTCCTCAAACAGAGTGGAATGTTATGTATTGGGGTATATATTGGTATGTTGCAAAATGCAGAATGTCTATAAAGCATTGGAATAAACGACTTAGAATTGCACAACTCTGTAACTCTAACTCTGTAAAAAGCATATTATACAGCCGAATAATGTAAGAAACAATACACAAGTACTGCTATTATATGTCATATATAAAGTAATATCTAAAAGCTTAAAAAAAAAAAATCAGCAACACCCATCAATAAATATACATCATATGTACACATTATGTACAGTTAAACCTTATTTTCGTCAAATACTGGAGGACATGATTAAAGCACAGTATGGAAGTCTTTTGTTTATAAAATAGCAATTACATGAGGGAACACACACCACTAATTGATAGGGAACACACACCACTAATTGAAAAGGAAACACACACCACTAATTGATAGGGAACACACACCACTAATTAATAAGGAACACACACCACTAATTGATAGGGAACACACACCACTAATTAATAGGGAACACACACCATTAATTGGTGAGGGAGAAACGCCACTAATTGGGTGGGAAAACACGCCACTTACTGGAGTGAAAATACAGTGATTTTTTTTAAAACCTTCCATTGCAATTTTAGATTTTTAATGAATTCAGAATATATGAATATTTATATAAATAAACAGTGATTGTATGCAAAATTTAAACAAGAGACTCATAGGACCTGTATCGCTCACCTGAATATTTAAGCAGTCATATCAATATATTCTCATTAAATATTATGCTGTACTACAAATATTTCACTCCAAAACTTTGTCAGCTCCATTTGTTGAAGCTACCAGCCAAATATTATTATATGATTCCATGCTTTTTGGTTCTTCTTCAGAAGTTGTTTGAAGTGTTTGGCATATTTGTTCCTGTGACCTTGTAAGTAGGTCAAGGTAATTTTTCTTCACATACTTTGTTGGCTTTATCCCAAGAAGCTACCAGCCAAATCCTATGAATCAATGCCTTTTGGTTCTTCAGAACAAGTGGTTTGAAATGTTGTTGACCTCTGTGACCTTTAAAGTAGGTCAATACTATTTTCATTCTCAAACTTCGTTGGGCTCCATTTCAAGAAGCTTCCAGCCAAATATGAAGACTCTATACCTTTCAGTACTTCAGAAGGAGTTGTGTGAAGTGTTTGACATATTTGACCCCTGTGACCATGAAAGTAGGTCAAGGCTATGACAAAAGCACACTAGCCCTTCGTCTAATAATATACGGTACATAAGTATGTGTGGCGTTATAAAGTATAACTCATTTGTTTCACTAAACAAGTCAAATTTGAACGGTCACATTTTTTAATCAATACATTATTTATTTATTTATTTATTTTTTGTTCAGATACACAAAAGAAGACCTAAAGATCCTCCAGAAGTTACTTCCCTGTACACCTTTATTTCACCTACATCCATAACCATGGCAACGGTACAAATTTCAGGCAGGATCAAAGGCCACACAAAGTGTCCGTACCATAAGGACAATGAGGTGGTTCTCCTCTGTCAGGACTGTGGATTACTGATATGCATCACTTGCTCCATAACAACTCACAAAACACACATTGATAGCTTTCGAGAAATTTTGAAAATTACAAGTGAACAAAAAAATACACTACCAGACTTTATGAATAAAACAGAAAACATTGAAATTCCTAATCTCAAAAATGAAATCCAATCAGCAAGGAAAGAAATTTCGACAAGTGAATCTAACTACTAACAAGAGGCCCAGAGGGCCTGTATTGCTCACCAGGATATTGAAGCAATTATGGCAAAATATTCTTTAAATGAGATCCAAGGGAATAGGCCAGACCCCAAGGCCAATCCTTGTAGGAATCTGTATTAGATTTTTTTCATGCCCAACAATTTTATGTATGGTTATAGGATAGGGGTTCTCAACTGTTTCCAAGCTGTGAATCGGAAACTAGGTCCCTAGGGTTGTGGCCAGACCCTAGGGTCAATTCTAATATCATGACTGCATTCATCTCTTTATGCCCAGCACTTCTATATATAGTTTTGGGGTGGGGATCATAACCATTTAAAAGTTATGACCCAGGGTTTAAGTCTGCAAGGGTTGGGTAGACCCTGGGGTCAATTCTAATATCATGACCACATTCGTCTCTTTATGCCCAGCATTTGTATATATAGTTTTGGGGTGGGGATCATAAATCATATTTATTTTTTGTTCATATACACAAAAGAAGACCTAAAGATCCTCCAGAAGTTACTTCCCTGTACACCTTTATTTCACCTACATTCATAACCATGGCAACGGTACAAATTTCAGTCAGGATCAAAGGCACACAAAGTGTCCGTACCATAAGGACAATGAGGTGGTTCTCCTCTGTCAGGACTGTGGATTACTGATCTGCATCACTTGCTCCATAACAACTCACAAAACACACATTGATAGCTTTCGAGAAATTTCGAAAATTACAAATGAACAAAAAAATACACTACTAGACTTTATGAATAAAACAGAAAACATTGAAATTCCCAAACTCAAAAATGAAATCCAATCAGCAAGGAAAGAAATTTCGACAAGTGAATCTAACTACAAACAAGAGGCCCAGAGGGCTTGTATCGCTCACCTGGATATCGAAGCAATTAAGGCAAAAATATTCTCCAAATGACATCAAGGGGAATAGGCCAGACCCCAAGGCCAATCCTTGTAGCAATCTGTATTAGAATGTTCATGCCCAGCAATTTTATGTATGGTTATAGGTTGGGGATCTCAACTGTTTCATGCTGTGAATCAGAAACTAGGTCCCTAGGGTTGTGGCCAGACCCCAGGATCTATTCTAATATCATGACTGCATTCATCTCTTTATGCCCAGCATTGGTATATATAGTTTTGGGGTGGGGAACATAAATCATTACCATTTCAAAGTTATGACCCAGGGGTTAAGTCTGCAAGGGTGGGGCAGACCCTGGGGTTTATTCTAATATCATGACTGCATTTGTCTATTTATGCCCAGCATTTCTATATATAGTTTTGGGGTGGGGATCATAACCATTTAAATGTTATGACCCAGGGGTTAAGTCTTTAAGGGTAGGGCAGACCCCAAGGCCATCCTCGAAGGGTATGTGCATTCATTTCTATATTCAGCAATCGTATATATCGTTATGGGGTGGGGATCTCAACTGTTTCAAAGATATAAACCAGAAACAAAGTCCCTAGGGGTGGAGAAAGACTCCAGGGCCTTTTTTTACATCATGCTTGTGTTTATCTCTTGATGCCCAGCGAATCTATATATGGTTATGGGGTGGGGATCTCAACTGTTTCAAAGATATAAACCAGAAACTAAGTCCCCAGGGATGAAGAAAGACCCGAGGGCCTATTTTTACATCATGATTGTGTTTATCTCTTGATGCCCAGCTATGCTATAAATGGTTATGGGGTGGGGATCTCAGCTGTTTCAAAGACACCTAGGGGTGGGGAAAGACCCCAGGGCCTATTTTTACATCATTTAAATGTATAAATACATAATTACATAAAAAGTACACAATATTGACCCCACCCTACCTCTTGACTCCTTGACCCCAGGGCCATAAATTTCATGCCTTTACTCTCTACTACTTGTAGGAGTAGAGATGAAGATTTTTAAAGATGACTCCATTTTTTACCTTTTTGGCCCGGCTCCTCAGGCCCCTGGGGGCATAGCCCCATAAATTTCATAAATTCAGATCCCCATGTCCTAGTGATGTTCCATGTTAAGTTTGGTCAAAATTGGTCCAGTAATTTTGAAGAAGAAGATTGTAAAAAGTAAAAATGTAAAAAGTTGACGGACGACAAAGTTGACCCCCTCGGGCCAGGTGAGCTTAAAACGGATGAAGGGTTGTCTCAACAACTATATACTGTGAGTATTGTGGCCTCTCAATTTGAGTATTGTTTACGTTATATAATGCTGAATTTCAACATTCCCCTCAAATACATTATATTTCATTTAATTCTGCAAGTGATTCACCGTTTGGTACCCAAAGGTCCCTTTTTAAAATAAACAAAAAAATATTTCACTACCAGTATTTCAATTCACAACTGAAGGAATTTTGTGAATTTATAATTGAAAATGATCTCAATGTCAAGAACTTTAGGCAAACCAATACCAGATAATTCTTCTTTAAGTTTGATATAGTAAAAATGGTGTAAGTTTAAATGTACTATCTTATTATATGTTGACTAGTAGACTCCATTTACATTACAGCCAGTACACTACAAGTACAGAGTTTTGTTTTACATTTCGGCCGGTACACTAATAATATACAAGTACAGAGTTTTGTTTTACATTACAGCCGGTACACTACAAGTACAGAGTTTTGTTTTACATTTCGGCCGGTACACTAATAATATATAAGTACAGAGTATTTTCTATACCAGGTACCAGTATATCCTTTACAACCTGTCCACACACACTCAAAGTAACAAATTCCAAACTTCAAGGTCGTCATGATCAATGGACAAGCAAAAAAATGACTGTTACATACATACTAAATGTGGAATTTGTGTCCATATAGATTCATAGATTCAAAAAGATGTATGTTTGAAGTGTAATATTTACCAAAGATTTACAGGTGAATTGAACTTTTTTAAATATATTATTACAGTGAGCAGGTTTTTTTTGTAATTAAGGCACCTCCCTAAAAATAACTGGCATTGACCCTCATCCCCGCCAATTTCCAATATTATCATGTAATCACCTTCAATTATTTTATTTGTTAGACAGTTTTAATCGGCTGGTATCACCAGGTCTTTTGAGATGCACATGTATCAGCTGGCCTTGTTGATGCGTTCCATGGACAGGAACAGGGGGAAGTGTATGTTGGCATCGTAGTGATCCAGCCCTTTAGCATCCATCTGGAAACCGTAAAGGGTAATCATATACTTGTATCAGAGGCCACATTTTGATTAACATAAAATTTCTTATGGCAAGTGGTTCTTAACACAACTGTGAAACATGAAAATAAATGCAATAGGAATTCCCAACACAGGTGGTGTATGATACCTGCAGGAATCATGATTGTACTTATTTGCCACCCTTAGACAATACCCGGTTGACTTTAGACCATAAATTCACTGGACTGTACCTGCTTGTGGAGACTCCAGACAGTAGGGTCATACTCCTCCTTGACACTGGTATGAAACTTCTCTCCCGCCAAGCTCACAAACTGGTCAAATGTCTTGCCTCGTCGAGGTGCATACATAAATACCTTACCCTAACAAATTAATGAAATATTCTTATTTCAGACAGGTGCATAAACCTATAATGTCACAAGAGTTATGGCCCTTAGAAATTGCTAAATTATAAATACATGTACAATCGGTAAGTACAACGTTCCAGTTTGCAGTATACATCTGCCTCACAATGTTAGACTAGAACCTAACAATATTATATAATCTGATTGAAGCGGTTACCAATCGACTGAAGAAAAAGTTGCAGCATAATCTAAGATTATTGATACAGAGTTGAATACGATTATTTTTTCAAATTCCAGGTCCTAGCTAGTACCAACAGGATATGTTTGTGTCCTACCCAAACCATTCAGAAAATACTAACTACCTTATTGTTAAAAAAAGGAATTAAAGGAGTGTAACTTCAGCTTGACTCCAAAATGCAAACAACTTTATACTGCTGGGGCCAGAGGATCTAGCTGGAATTCGGCACACCAACTGCTTAAACTAAAGATGAATTCATAAAGAGAAAGACTTACCTCTGGCTTCAGCATTGTATGAACTAAGTCCACCAGATCCTTTCTACCTTCCTCAAAAAACAAACTGAAAACACAGAACAGTTCAGTGATAAAACAGAACAGTTCAGTGATAAAACACAGAACAGTTCAGTGATAAAACACAGAACAGTTCAGTGTTAAAACACAGAACAGTTCAGTGATAAAACACAGAACAGTTCAGTGATAAAACACAGCCTCTTCAGTAAGATTTACAGCGTCATTATGATTTCCTTGGTGTTGTGTGGCAACATGATTTAACGTTAATAGACATTCAGCCACAGTTATAAGTATAGGACTCTAACATAAACAGAAATCTGTTAAATGTAACTATTTGTGTTATATGGCGTAAGTATAATATCACGTTAATAGACATTCAGCCACAGTTATAAGTATAGGGCTCTAACATAAACAGAAATCTGTTCAATTTAACTATTTGTGTTATATAGCGTAAGTATAATATCACGTTAATAGACATTCAGCCACAGTTATAACTATAGGACTCTCACATAAACAGAAATCTGTTCAATGTAACTATTTGTGTTATATGGCGTAAGTATAATATAACGTTTAATAACATAGTGTAACCAAACATAGATCTACCTTGATATCAAATTATTATCAATCTAAATTACTAGTGTATAACAAGGGAACCTAACAAAGAATAGGTGTTAATTTACTTAAAAATGAAACTGTATGCGTGTTCAAAACTTCAGTAACTTGTATACGTACCAGTCTGCACACAGGATGATATCAAACTTATCTACAAGGGATTCCTCTACCGGCCCATCACCCCACCGCAACATTCTGAAATGTCCACACAACTTTCTATATGAAATCCTGCTTACAATGATTTTATGGTTAAAACAGAAAAATATTATGTTACACAGTAACAGAAGTGCAAAATTAATACCAGTACATGTATATATGTATCTACAGTGGAACCTCCTTATCCTGGACGTTTTTTGCGTCACTGACATCTGTATGGTAACTAACATTTTAGAGGTTTTTAGAATAAAAATAGGTGAATTGCATAAGATTTCAGACACATGATCCCCTTGCATTGGTAAATGTAAATTAGTTGATCGGCAAGCCATCAACATTTTCCCCTTCAATACAAGCAACACATCCTTTAAATTAGCAATCTAACAAATGATGTACACGTACAAGCATGTCAATGTAGAGCAATGCTATACCTGCTTGTGACTTTTGTCTTTCCAAAGGCAGAACTGTTCTTTTCAATGATCTGGTTTAGATCTGAAGAAGAAATGGAAGAAAATGTTCAACTTTGATATGTCATCCTTGGGTCAAACCTGATTTCCATTTTTTATTTAGACTAGAAATAAAATCAGCAATGTGAAGATGTTTTGTTATCTAAACCTTATTAATGTTTTGGTGAATTATTTTAAAAATTGTAAAATGTCAACATTTGAAAAATATATCTAGAAAAAAAGGGGTTTTGTGGCTTATGGTCAAATAAAATTCAATTTTGGGATTTCACTATCAAGGTCAAGGTCAAGAAAAGTGCATAAGGTCAATGTCAAATAAGAGAAAATGATCAAGAGTGGAGGATAAAACGTATTCAAAAATAATAAGCAAATCTAGAATTTCAAATTGTTTTATTCAGAACCGTATGAAGCTTCCATTGCCACTGAGTGAATGATTATATACATTTTTTTATCCTTATGACCTCCACATGACCTTCAAAACAAAATCTGACAGTGGTATCCATAGTACGGTCGGTATTCTACAGGCGATGAGTCTAGCATCCATATAAAGCACTGGTAAACAGTGCTGTCCTATTAACAGAAATAACTAGTTTTGGCTGGTCTGTACTACACAGTCCACTTACTGTCCACAGATTCCTCATTACCATCTGTCAACAGCATGCTGTCAGCCTCCGACAATATGGACAGCTGGAAAAACATTTAACAGCTTTGAATAACTATAAATGCGTATCTTCAGTGGTAATCTTATATCTGGGCTTTTCGCGCTTTAAACATTGTAAACTAAATTATGATTGTGCTAACTGAATTTATTGTTTTTCATTACATAATTCATTGTGTGTGCCCTAATTCAGCAAGGCACTAAATTTGTTACAACTCAATGATGCTCAAAAGTTTGAGTGTCGCTCCATTTACAACAATTAAATAGAATCTGGCAAAGAGGTTTGGAAAAGATGGAAAGGCTTTCTGAATCATGATGCAGAATGATCATGAATGACTACTCTGTAACAAATGTGAGAGAGAAACAATGTGTAGTTCATAATATATTCTGCATACAAACAGTTATAGACAGATACCACTATCGAAAAGCACATGGTTATCTAAATGACCACCAGACATATACCTGTCATGGACTTGCCATATTTGGAAAGTGACTTACCATGACCCCTGCTAGACAGGTCATCCCGCCTCCAAGCTCACATACTGTTGCTCCCCTGTCAATCAAAGTTCTCTTTGTAATGTCAATCAAAATATTAGTAAACTAATTATTTCCTTCATTGATTTAATCAAAACTGATTTAATACTTTTTGCAGATATTGTAATGTGGCCTTCCTGAAATGGTTGATAAACAGATAGATTAACATGATAACCAACCCACGTTGGGGAACCTCTATATTTAACAATTAAAGTATGGGTATGAGGGATATAGCAAGTTTATGATCCCCCGAGGCCAGGACTATTTCCCGAGGCGAAGCCGAGGGAAATAGTCCTGGACGAGGGGGATCATTAACTTGCTATATCCCGAAATACCCATACTTCAACTGTTTTATTATACCGATACAAACACTCCCTTACAATATTCTAAATATTATTAGACAACACATTTTTCAACAGTTGGGACACTTTATTAACAAAACTACAACAATGCGAGGTGAAGGTTGGTCCAGAAAGTACGGGCTCTGCTGGCTGGAAATTTGATTGCGCTGATTGGTCAATATTCGGTCAGGCCTCGCCCACGACGTCACTCAATTTCCCGCATTTTCAGAGGGAAATAGTTTCAAAACTATCGTACTCCTCCAGACGAACTATTTCCCTGGCATGCAGTTAGAGGGGAAATAGCTTGTTTATGTGGTTACTTTTGTATAGTGTAAAATAAGTAGAGGTATAATAAAAGTAGTTGATACATACCTGAAGTCATTAAGGTACTTCTGAGTGTGGTAGGCCATCACTTCCTCTGAGGGCCATACACCTACAATAGGAACAACAAACATTAAATACAGGCCTAGTGTGTTAGGAACAAGGTGTAAATCTGCTATTCTGCCATATTTGTGCATATTAGATATATGTGTGTCCCATATAGAACACTTTATTTATATACCCTGGACAGGCTGGTGTAGCCACCCTTTTCCTGGTGTGAGGCATCCTTGTCTCACCCGAAGTTTATATTGTATCATCAGACGTCATGGTAACAATTAATACACTGAAGTAATGCCAACATTGCTACTGTAGGGTGAGATAGGGGATACTAATGAACCTCGGGGGAAGCTGTTCTTCTCAGTTTCTTTTTCTTTCTTCCTTTCCTCTTTGTTCATACATCTGTATATATATTTTTGATAAATATCTTTGTTGCTGTTGTCGTGTAATTTATATAATGAAGTGTATTGAAGAAGGAAATGCATTTGGATGAAACTGTTTCAAACTCCGAAGTATTGCTTGATAACTTTAGTACTATATTGATAAAAGATAGAAACACTTTTGGTGGTGGTACCTTAATTTATGCAAAAAAATGATGTAATTTTGAAACGACGGGTGGATTTAGAATCATTGAATGATGAAACAATTTGGGTGGAATTAGTCTTAGATAATGAAAAGTAGGTTATGGGTTGTATTTATAGGCCTCCATGGCAAAATGCAGCATTAGGTTTCTGGGATCGTTTGAAATATTCATTAGATCTAGCCTATGGTAATACCCCAAATGTAAAGTTAACATGTGATTTAAATGTCGACTTGTTGTCAAACCGTAAAAACCAGCTGTGTGATATATTGAATCAGTACAATCTAAAAATGTGAAGGCATTTCTAAGTTGAGATAACTTGTGCCAAATCCTTTTTGTTGAATGACAAATAAAATATGTTTAAATCAATCAATAAATCAAGTTAAGTTGCCAATCACTCAGCAATCTGCAATTGACACCTTAATCTTCCTTCTAGGGGCGAGATCCCTAACTCTAAACAGAGGGAGACAGTCTATAAACCCCCTATTATGGGTGCACTCAATATCCTGTACTGTTATACGTTGTCACAATCAGATGACAATGTTTCACAATGATGTCACAATCAGATTGTGACAACGTATAACAGTACAGGATATTGAGTGCACCCATAATAGGGGGTTTATAGAATGTCTCCCTCTTAACAGAGGGAGACATTCTATAAACCCCCTATTATGGGTGCACTCAATATCCTGTACTGTTATACGTTGTCACAATCAGATGACAATGTTTCCCAATGATGTAACAATCAGATGACAATGTTTCACAATGTTGTCACAATCAGATGACAATGTTTCTCAATGATGTCACAATCAGATGACAATCTTTCACAATGATGTCACAATCAGATTGTGACAACGTATAACAGTACAGGATATTGAGTGCACCCATAATAGGGGGTTTATAGAATGTCTCCCTCTGTTAAGAGGGAGACATTCTATAAACCCCCTATTATGGGTGCACTCAATATCCTGTACTGATATACGTTGTCACAATCAGATGACAATGTTTCTCAATGATGTCACAATCAGATGACAATCTTTCACAATGATGTCACAATCAGATGCCAATGTTTCACAATGATGTCACAATCAGATTGTGACAACGTATAACAGTACAGGATATTGAGTGCACCCATAATAGGGGGTTTATAGAATGTCTCCCTCTTAACAGAGGGAGACATTCTATAAACCCCCTATTATGGGTGCACTCAATATCCTGTACTGATATACGTTGTCACAATCAGATGACAATGTTTCTCAATGATGTCACAATCAGATGACAATCTTTCACAATGATGTCACAATCAGATGAGAATGTTTCACAATGATGTCACAATCAGATTGTGACAACGTATAACAGTACAGGATATTGAGTGCACCCATAATAGGGGGTTTATAGAATGTCTCCCTCTGTTAAGAGGGAGACATTCTATAAACCCCCTATTATGGGTGCACTCAATATCCTGTACTATTATACGTTGTCACAATCAGATGACACTGTTTCACAATGATGTCACAATCAGATGCCAATGTTTCACAATGATGTCACAATCAGATGCCAATGTTTCACAATGATGTCACAATTAGATGACAATGTTTCACAATGATGTCACAATCAGATGACAATGTTTCACAACGATGTCAGTCAAAAACAACACAACATAAATACCATTTTTTGAGAAGAATTAAGTTTTTTGAACTTTCTAAAGAGACTGAATGTTAAGGTACCAATGTTCTCAATTTTTATGTATGGAAATAAAGAATTAATGAATATGAAACTGAGAGAAACATCCAAAGAAATGTCAATGACATCAGTTTATTTACAAACAATTATAGTTAGTTTGCCAGTAATTTATAAACTCAAAAATGTTATAGGTAATTCTTTTTACAGCATAATAAGCAACCCTGAGCTCAGCTATTTATCATAATTGAGATATCATCAGTGGCAGGTACCTATACTTACAAACATTTCCTGTATTGTTGAAGCCTAACACAGTCTCTGCATTTATAGTCCCAGCCAAATGTCTGAAGAAAAGGGTATTACATCAATGAATGGTAACCTTGGTCCGAACAATTCAATTCTAACTAATTAAGCATGGATCGCCTTCAAATTTGAAGTCAGCCATGTGAACGTATATTGTGCATGCTACAAAATTTCATCAAAGTCAGGCTAAATAGGGTAACTTAGATACCTTATTGTAGTACCTCAACAAATTATTTCAATACATCTTTTTCCACAATATGTTGCTAATATATATATAAGCAAGTCATTGTAAGATAATAAAATATATTTTAACTATGCAAATATTACTTCAAATCCTCCCATACACAGTTTCGCAATGTCTGTCATGGGATGATGTCGTCCACTCCTAATAGACAGAGACCCTCATATACAAATGTCAGACCACAACACAGGTTTTGGTAGGAACAGAAGAAGAGCACCCTCACCCATTCAAATGTTCTGCAGGGAGGTTAAACAGGTCAACTCTATTCTAAAGTCCATGAACTTACATCCCATTTTGACTTTTAGAGTCATTGGGACTCCGTTCAGCCTTGATTGAAAATTATGGGTCCTAGATAAATATTTGGGGTCCTCATAAATGATGTTTAGTATACATTGCTTAAAGTCATATACATCAATAAAATATGGAGACTGGAATTTTACAAGTTGTCATTTCTGGGGGTCATGGGGACACAAGTATTCAGGTTTTGGGGGTCCAGGCTGAAATAGAAAATGGTGGAATTACATACCTAATGGTCATGGAGAAGTTGAGTACCTCGGGACATGTGTAGTGGTGCCATGATGATCCACTATTCTTCAAGTTTTCGGACGTAGATAGTTCCCGAGTCTGTAGCAGACCATAGCTGCCAAACCGGCGTACAGATACAGAACTATGACAAGTCTCATCAGATCTCTGTCCTTTTAACGCCTGATCATGAGTACAATATAAAGAACAGAATTGTGTAATGAGTACATTTAGTTGAGATATCTTTTATGGTCAAGATACATTCCTGAAATCAGTTTATATAATACATATAACTGGGTACTAGACAAGTTTAAACTAATTTTTGGTTAAACATTACATACAAAAATACTGCTACAGAAAAAAACTATTAACCACACACTGAATGCGCTAAAGCAAAACACTGTGCTTTGGAGCAAATGGTTGACTACTAAAGTTGAATGCTCTATATATATATGAGATCACAACCTTGAATTCGACAGTTGAATTCAAATTTCAAATGCTTTTCTTTTCTTATGTTCTGATATTGTCTCGGATACAAAAAAAAAATTGATCACCAATGACCAGGTAGCTCATGATCAATTGGTAGAGCCTCTATCTATAGTGTTTTAACGGTCCAAAGTTCCAATCCAAGTCTAGCCATGCTGTTTTTCTTTCCTGTTACAGTGGTGCCTGTGACCCGAGCCCTTATGAACTGTATATACACTTGGCCATTAATGGGATACCACACCTGGGTTCTGAGGAGGGCCAAGACTTGAAAAAAAGGACAGAGGATCATTTTTTAATACTGTAGTGGAACTGGACTGGGTTGATCCCTGACGTCAGATCTAGAAACCCATATTTGCTTCACTCACTCCGAGTGTCTGTCCGGAGTTCAGAGGTTCCAGGTTTGAATCCTGGTTTCAGCTGTTGCCCTTTTCCTCATGTCACATTGATGCCTGTGACAAACACTTAATTGTTTCAAGAACTGCAAGTGACTTTGCAGGAGGATACCCAGACCTAGATTGCAAATTAAATAGAGCTGTCAATTGCCGTCAACAGAGGTTCCAGGTTTGAATCCCAGTCAGGCCATGTAATAATTTCCTTACCCTGTTGCAAAGACATGATTAGTCCAATTTCTCAATTTGTTATCAAATTCAGTAATAGCTTTTGAAAATTACTGATTTTATAGTTTACAAAATTGTGTATGTGAATCACAGGTAGTCTGAATGAACAGTGAGGCTTAGAGGTAACCTGTACATGTGCTCTGTCTGATACAATGTGGTTCACAGGGACCTGAGAATTTGTTACAGCTAAATTTAGACCTAAACTAAGGTGTTTAGAGTAATTTTACACGTTTTCTTTTTTGTTTGAGCGGGGGGGGGGGNTATGAATCACAGGTACACTAACCTATACCTATATATAGTCTGAATGAACAGTGAGATGAGGCTTTGAGTACCTGTACATGTGCTAGATGTCTGATACAACGTGGATCACAGAGACCTGAGAATTTGTTACAGCTATATTTAGACGTAAACTAAGGTGTTTAGAGTATTTTTTTTATTTTTTTTGGGCGGGGCGTGGGTAGATTGTTTGGGTAAAAATGTCATCCCCAATGATGATACTCAAGTAATTATTATCATTATTGGGGTGGCGTTTTTACCAAAAATCGATCTAAACCCACAAACGTCTAAAATTGCTCTTAACACCTTAGTTTAGGTACAAATATAAGTAATTATCAGGTCCCTGCGGTGTGGATGAGTGATCAGAGCACCTGCAGTTGTACAATGTATATATTTTTACATAAAATATATCAAATAATTACCTTTGCTAATAGTTTCCACCGCTCCCTTGCTTTTTCGGAAGAATTCAGGTGTTTACTCATGATTTGAACAGAATCTATTTATAACTCATCATAAACTGGGAAATTACTCCACACTGTAGGTACATGTTAATCTACAACCAAGGACGCCAAAAAAATTCCATAGTAGGGAGAAATTATTATTTAGACTTTTGTGTAAAATATTAATTGAATATTATAGTAAAATATAATTGAAATGATATATGTATTATATCTAAAAGTAAAATTAATGAAAATTGTATTTTACAAAATCAAATATTTTAATGTAGAAGTTAAAAACACAAACTAGTGTATTTAGTGTTATATACACAAATTAGTATTTAGTGTTATATACATAAATAATTACTGTTCCCTTCTAGTTCAAGATGGAGGACGGAAGTATCAACAATGGGTTTCCCGAGCATCACATGAATTGATTGATATGTTTCTACCGATATGCATCATTTAATTCATTAATAATTATGCAAAGTTCGTCTTCTCCATGATGTAACACACTAATCTAATGATACTATGTTGAAATTATACTACTAAAATGGTGAAGATAGCTGTGATAGGCGCTGGGTTGCTTGGGATAAAAATCGCAGGTAAGAATGAATGACTAAATGTAACGTTTTAGTCTTAAAATAATACTGTAACATTAGAGTTCTTATTACACATATCATAGTGAACGATTGCAAAATAACAAGTTTATCAAGCGTCGAATCCTTTACTTGTCCGTTATATTTTCTTTCTGCGTTTACAAATATATATGAGGATAAATAAATAATCTATATTTCTATCGTCGTTTACACTGACGTTCCCGCTGTATAGTGGTATGAGGCGACTAATGTGGTTTAACTGAGTAGTCAGATATCCCTGTCCATATCATCATATATCCGCCACCGCTGGGAATCGAACCGAAAGTCTTGGGAGAGTGATCATGAGTTGTCTGAAGCTCACGCTTGATTGCAGACACAGTAGAATGACAGTGCGCGTTATCGATCACAGCTACTGGGGCACCCATTTCATTGAATATACACTTAATAACTCCTTCAGTAGTTAGTGACATAACACAAAATTCTATCAGTAAGTAAGTATAAATGATTTTTTTTTAATGTAAAAGCCCATTGTAAGCATCATGCTTAAAAATAAATCAGAGACCTACATATGTATATATATGCAGGTCCTACAGACCTGTATATATACATTGTATGTTTGTCTCCTAGTTCATTTTTCATATCAGAGAACCTATTTCTGTGTCTGACCTTTTTTCATTGCTGTACAAATAACCCCAGTTTATTGATGTCATCAGTTTTTGCATTGGGTTGGAAGGTAAACACTTAGGTTAGGTCTGTGAAAATGTTGAAGAAAATGAGGTGAAACCAAGTTGATCAAACTATACAAGTTTTCTGGTTTGGTCGACAATTCTATAGACAACACCAAAAATATACCATAAATGCTTTTCTGTGATTGTCCTTTTCTATTCTTAGTAATAGTACCCAGTAAATATGAGTACATTTTGTTGCCATTCAAAAATGTAGTGTTTTCTGTCACAGTATAAAGTATGTGTGTACATGTGTTATAAGTAGACAGGCACACAAACTGGACGACTAGTGATCATATAGAGTCAAAGAAATGATTGCAAGCAGACTTTCCCGGTAAAATCAAAGAGAAAATATTGTTGATAAACAAGGTTAAATACATAGCTGTTTAATTTTGATCTTATTTGTTTATACAGTAATTTCACCTTAAGAGCTCAGAAACTTAATTAACAGGTCACTCAATGACCAAAGGACCAATTAAGGTGAGCTTATGCCATACCGTGGCGTGCGTCATCCGTCCGTCCGTTAACAATTTCTTTAAACAACTTCTAATTCTTCTTAACCACTGATTGGAGTTCAACTACATTTGACTGGAAGCATCCCTAGGTGGTGGAGATTCAAAATTGTACAAATGGTGGGGATGACCCCCCAGGGGGCTGAGGGACAGGGCCAAAAGGGGTCAATTTGGATATATTGCTTTAAGCAACTTCTTCTCTGGAACCAAGAAGTGGATATTAACCATATTTGACTGGAAGCATCCCTAGGTGGTGGTGATTCAAAATTGTACAAATGGTGGGGATGACCCCCCAGGGGGCTGAGGGGCGGGGCCAAAAGGGGGCAATTTGGCTATATTGCTACAAACGACTTCTGTAGAACTATGCACTGGAGCTATGCCATTGATATCGATCATATTTGGTCGGAAGCATTCATTGGAGGCAGGGATTCAAAATGGTGGAACTAACCCCCCGGGCTAAGGGGCGGGGCTCAAAAACGTTTATTACTTGAAAATGGTTGAGATCCCTACCATATAACCATATAAAGAGAAGAATGCACATTTGCTTCCAGGATTGCCGTAGGGTTTGGCCCCATCCTTGGAGACATAGTCCCTGGGTCATAACTTTGAAATGGTTGAAATCCCCATCCCAAAACTATATATACAAATGCTGGGCATAAACAGACGAATGTAGTCATGATATTATAATAGACCCTGGGGTCTGACCAAATCCCTAGGGACCAAGTTTCTTAGTCACAGCTTGGAAACAGTTGAGATTCCCACCCTATAACCATATATACAATTGCTGAGTATAAAGAGATGAATGCACATATGCTTCCAGGATGGCCTTGGGGTCTGCCCCACCCTTGGAGACTTAACCCCTGGGTCATAACTTTGAAATGGTTAAGATCCCCACCCCAAATTATACAATTGTTGGGCATAAAGAGAGGAATGCAGTCATGATATTAGAATTGATCCTGGGGTCTGGCCACAACTCTAGGGACTTAGTTTCTGAGTCACAGCTTGGAAGCAGTTGAGATCCCCACCCCATAACAATATATTACATTGCTGGGCATGAAAAACCTAATACAGATATGCTGCAAGGATTGGCCTTGGGGTCTGGCATATTCCCTTGGATCTCATTTGGAGAATATTTTGCCATGATTGCTAAGATATCCAGGTGAGCGATACAGGCCCTTTGGGCCTCTTGTTTATTATCATAACAATGAGTAAAAACACTCTAAACATGAAATACTGGCTGCATAGAACCTTTTCATATAATTTGATTCTATTTTGTCTTTTTTGGTATTTCTAACTTAATAATTGACAGATTTTTGATACCAAGGTTATAGAACTTCCTTGCTATTTCACCTACATATACGAAACTTTTTGTCCTTATGTATCTTGCAAAGGCAGAATGTTACATACTGAAATTTTGTCTCGCAACCCTCATCATATAGATTTTTTAGACATATTTTCTAATGATGATTTTGAATGTGTGCACAGGGAGGCAATCCCTATAAGTTTTGAGAATGGTAAAGTCAATGTCAATAGAAGCACCTTTTCTGATGTCTATGGCTGGTGAAGTACAATATGCTTTCCCATTTCAACACAAGAACGTATCAGAACAAAACACAACTTTTGTTCATACAATGAGCCTAATTGGATGGGATGAGATGCGTTATTTTTATTTAAACTTGCAGTACCCTTGGTTACAATTTTTTGATGTGGTTACTCGGGAGGAAAACATCATTCTTTTTTTTGCTATAATATGGGGAGTTTATACATCCTGTGATGAAAGCTTATAGCCAAAACTAGTCACATGTCATTTTGATATTTCCGTGTTACTAATTGATTTCTGTCATATCAGTCACATAACAATTTGTATTAACAATTTTAAAATATAAACTTTGTTTCATTTCTTTTTGCATTCACAGTATAATATAACAGAATACATAATTGTTGAAACAGGAATCAGAAACAAGTTTTACAACATTTATATATCCATCTTCTGAATTCAACTGTACATATGGTCTGAATCTTTTTTTATTTGTTTTAAAGGTGAGCTGGCATACCATGGCCATCGTGTTAGGATCCACGACTCTAACATAAAGAATCTTAACAGTGTATTCCAGCGAATGGAGGAGGATAAAAAGAACCTGAGAGAGGAGGGAGTATTGCTTCATAAAAACTTCATTGTAAGTAAACGTATAAGACTATATATGTCACTATCTCACATATAGAAATATGTTTGTTTTGAAAAAAGAAAAAGTAATAATGGAGATAATTTAATGTCTCAGTTTTAGTATTTGGTGGTGTACAGTACTTACTACGTAAGTAAAAGTATCTAGAAAGGGTCACATAAAACACAGAGCCTCGTACAGGAGTACATGTTAAGTCTCTACCCCCAGAGCCTCGTACAGGAGTACATTTAATTCTCTTCCCCCAGAGCCTCGGACAGGAGTACATGTTAAGTCTCTTCCCCCAGAGCCTCGTACAGGTGTACATGTTAAGTCTCTTCCCCCAGGGCCTCGTACAGGAGTACATGTTAATTCTCTTCCCCAGAGCCCCGTACAGGAGTACATGTTAAGTCTCTTCCCCCAGGGCCTCGTACAGGAGTACATGTTAATTGTCTTCCCCCAGAGCCTCGTTCAGGAGTACATGTTAAGTCTCTTCCCCCAGAGCCTCGTACAGGTGTACATGTTAAGTCTCTTCCCCCAGGGCCTCGTACAGGAGTACATGTTAATTCTCTTCCCCCAGAGCCTCGTACAGGAGTACATGTTAATTCTCTTCCCCAAGGTCCAGGGCCAGTGTTGTGTGTGAGTTAACTCATTAGTGATATTGTATGTAATATTTCCTCCTCCAGGTTCAGGCTCATTGTGTGTATGAATTACCTAATGAGTGATAATTAATGTTTATTATAATGTATATGAGTTAAATAATTAGTGATACTGTATGTTACATTATTTGTATTTCCAATCTGCAGGGCCAGGTCCTATGTATGAGCCGGCTAGAGGAGACAGTCTGTGATGCTGACGTTATAATTGAATGTGTTCTTGAGGACCTTGAGGTGAAGAAAGATCTCTTTGAAAGTAAGTGATTGTGTGTTATGGATTTATTAATTAAAATACAATAGTTTATTTTATCAGTTTGGTAGTTTATGATTATGCCCATGCATGATATAACATATGTATTAACAAAATTTGTTTGTGATATTTCACATATATATATATATATATATATATATATATATACCTGCTTGTACGAGGATTTCCCATTGAGATATATTTCTATGAATGCATTTATGATGTACTCAGACTTACATTTATAGTGAACATCACAGTTATAATAACACCAGTCAGGATACTACAGTAAACTATACCTTATTTACATCTATTGCCATGGAAACTATAACTAAAATGCTCAGTTATGATGCATGTGTCAATTTGTGGAAAGTTATGCTGTCCTTTATAAATACATTTACAATGTATTTGTTTAACAGGAATTTCTCACCTGTGTAAGCCAGAGGCAGTCCTGTGCAGCAATACACTGCGGTTGAAGATGGATGATATTGTTCAAAGGACAAACAATAAAGAGGTATGCTTCATGTTTATAAGGATTTCTTCTAAAAGTAAAACATTGATTTATATGTACTCACTATATGCAAGTACAATTCTGCCTGTTAATCAATGCGTGATATAATGAAGGGACATAACTCTTATCACCTTTGTGCTGCAATGATGGAAGTAAGAGCCACAAAACTGGGGCCTGTTCGTTTATGCGGAACAACCGGTACGTCCATATTTAAATGTAACATTTTTGGATATAAATCCTGGCGGACCTGCAAATGATTATACAGGCCTTGCAAGGCTTTGTCAAGGCTTGCCTGGAAGAAGCATCAGATTTACTGGGTCCGACCTTATGTTTTAAACAAATACCGGGGTAACACTGGTCCAACCGGGTCAACCATTTGGACCGCGATAAACGAAAATGGCCGAGAATATTTTCTGTCTAAAACTGTTCATGAAGTTTGTGATCCTTGAAACATGCATGTCTTATATGTATGTGATCATAGAGTAATGTATTCTTTGGCAGTGTTGGCCACCATTGATCCTTCTTTTACACTAGAGATAAAGTAAGGAAACAACTATGTATTGTTAGGGCTATCTTTGCATGGTCTCCTAACTCATCAACATTAAAACCCTTTAGTGCAGCTTTCTTATCGCTGTTTCTGTAATTTTGAATACTTCCCTTATATCATTATAAGGAAAGTATTGGTATTTTTAATTATGGTTGTCATGGTATTACCAATGGTACATGTAACTAGTTGAAATTTGCATAAAGTAGAGAAATTTGAATATTAAATCAATTTCAATGAATTTTGCATTTTGTTTCGGGTGAATTTTAATGGAATTTGATGCCAGAAAAGGTTTAAACATTTATATACATTGCTTTACTGATATCTGTATGGTACACTAATGTCATCCCACTGCCAGAAATCATACCATGTATGATTTTAAGAAGGTGTAGCATATTTATAGCAAACTATGAACCTGAGATCAAAGATATACAGATACTGTATTACATTGTTGACCAGGAGTTGTGTTTGTTACAGAGGACGATGGGTCTGCGTTTCTTGTTCCCCGTGTACTGTATACCGGAGGTAGAAATCACACCCAGCTCATTCTCCTCACAGAAAGCCATTCAGAAAGGTAAGATTATACTTAACTCTTAGTCAGATAAGATCCAGAAAACTTGTAACAAGAAAATGTCTCCAGAACAATTATACCAGGCAATGAAAGTGTAATACTTATCATTGTACCCGAATAAAATATTTGGAGTCGTGTCTCTCATTGTGTATATAGAAGTGCTACAGTAAGTGTTAATATTTTTCAGTACGGATCATGCTGGAGAGGATGGGGAAGACTTTGTTCTTCAGGTCTGGTGGGGAGCCCCTCATTTTGTCGGAGGAACAGCGAGAGGAGCGTAAGAAAGGTACATACACGAAATTAGGAAATGTAGAAAAGGGCATTGATTATGTTATACAACAGATAATAACCTGTCATATCTCAGTGCTGAATTGCTATAGATACAAAAGTGTTATTTTAAACTATTTTCAAAAAATAGAATATGGTGAGTTGTCATTTAATGCTGCTGATGTCCTGTTGATCATCTTCTTTTTGTCTACAGCTCGTCTGGAACAGATCAAGAGCTCGTCGGGAGTGGGCCACCTGTTTGAGAGTATGATTCCTGCCTTATCGCACCAGGGCAATGTCCCGCAGGACGAGGAGAAGAAAAGTGAGTACTACAGAGTGGGCACTACATGATCACTCATTTCTATAACTGTATCGCAGCTGCTTAAATTGTTTTTAGAAAGTGAGAGACCATATCTTGTGACTTGGTAGTTTTACATATCAAGGACTTTGAAATCTTTTGAGCCGTGTCTTTTAATTGACAAAAGGTCATATAGAAAGTTTAAACTTGGGTATACCCTGTAAGAATGTGATTCGAAAATATTTTTAAAAAGGTGATTCTAAGGATTCTGATGCATTTTCCAGGACCCTGTATGGATATTCTAACCCACCATTTGTTGTTATCGAGGTATAAATTGACACAGTAACACAGGCATGGGGATCAAGTGGCTCAATGGGTAACGCACTAGTCTTTCTCAAAGATGGCAGGGTTTGATTCCCTGTCAAATGTTAAACAGAATCAAGTCACCTGCCTGATGCAAAGGATTTCTCTGGTTACTTTCTTCTTTTCGCATTCAACCTCTGTGCACCTCCATCCAGGCCAACAAGCTAACAGAGTGATAAATATAAGTTGGAAAAACTTGCTTCATCATTGTTGTAAGATAAAGTTGATATTTTATTGAACATTTGTATAGAAAGATTGACTCAAACTCTAATATAAACTCTGAACAAGTATTGGCCTGTACCTGTATGTATAGGATAAACCACGAGTTGGTGTAGAATAGGCCAGAGAAAACACCCCTATCGAGGGCCGAGGTAAAGTTGATATTTTATTGAACATTTGTATAGAAAGATTGACTTATACTCTAATATAAACTCCGAACAAACATTGGCCTGTACCTGTATGTTATAGTAAAGGACAAACATTTGCCTGTTTCTGTATGTTATAGTAAAGGACAAACATTTGCCTGTTTCTGTATGTTATAGTAAAGGACAAACACTGGCCTGTTCCTGTATGTTATAGTAAAGGACAAACACTGGCCTGTACCTATATGGTATAGTAAAGGACAAACACAGGCCTGTACCTGTATGTTATAGTAAAGGACAAATACTGGCCTGTACCTGTATGTTATAGTAAAGGACAAATACTGGCCTGTACCTGTATGTTATAGTAAAGGACAAATACTGGCCTGTACCTGTATGTTATAGTAAAGGACCAACACTGGCCTGTACATACCTGTATGTTATAGTAAAGGACAAACACTGGCCTGTTCCTGTATGTTATAGTAAAGGACAAACACTGGCCTGTACATACCTGTATGTTATAGTAAAGGACAAACACTGGCCTGTTCCTGTATGTTATAGTAAAGGACAAACACTGGCCTGTACCTATATGGTATAGTAAAGGACAAACACAGGCCTGTACCTGTATGTTATAGTAAAGGACAAACACTGGCCTGTACCTGTATGTTATAGTAAAGGACAAACACTGAGGTCTTGTACCCAATACTTTCTAAGATATAGGTTATAAGAAAATTAAGTTCCTTAAGGAATGACCTTGATTGTGATTTAAATCCTTTTGTTTTTATCCTCTTTCTTGCTGATAGGATTTACCGGTTAACAAGAAATTAAAATTCCTAAGGAATTACTTGTCAGTTCTATTTTATCAAATCAATAATAATAGCAGACCATTTCTAACTCAATATCTCGACGATAACTCAATGTTGTTAGGGTAATATATAATACATGTAGTATATTTGAAGTACAGATAAAAAATAATTGTGTATACCACAGGTATATTTCATTAATAAAGAGTTAACATGAGAAAATGAACCCTTTTCCATTTATACACTAAACACTGACGATGGAAAAGAAATGATATTTGCACACCTAGGGTATGTGTTTGTGTGTCATTGACCGATATAAACAAGTGATGACAGATCGGCTTATATCCCGAGTCCTTCAGGAATAATCATAACAACTGACCACATGAATTCTAGGTGAAGAAATGGTCATTATAGTTTCATTAATACCACAATCAAAACATTTAAAATTTCTGTTTTATATCCATTATATTTATAAAATATATATTTTATATTATATTTTTTAAGTTAATTGTAAAAAACTGTTGATTTTTAAAACATCTTTCTCTGTCAGAAATTGTCATTCATGTCAACAATGTATTATGTGTTTATTGATGTTTCTTTGATGATTCTGAGAGGATGAGTTTATTGGTGGTTTAGAGGTGTGGAGAGTTGGGCTGGTGCTATATAGGGCCTAGTATTGCTGCTGATTGACATATAGAGGGTGCTTCAGTGTCTCTGATTGAGCTGTAATTAGCAGGGACTTAGGCGTGTGGACCCCATGCTGAGCTCCTCAGCCTCATCAACACTGCATATCTGGTATGTAGAGTGCTTTGTTTCTCTGGCTGCCAAGGAGACGACCTCTGATAGGGTCTTAAAGGCTTATGTTTGGGTTTTTCCTCTGTCTCATCAATATCTTCATAAATCCCTTTGCCTTCCTTGTGATGTCAATGTATTGGTTCTCGGTGAGTTCACTTAACTCACAATATTCTTTCTAAAGTAGAAATAAATAAGGTATATTACCTTTCATCAATTTTTTCTCAATATTTTTTATCACTCATACAGCGCTAGGTCCAAGACCAAGGACATTTAACTTTAATTATGTTTTTTTTTTGTTAATTGTTATGTGAATAAGGGTCATGTAGTGCAACCTAAAAGATAAAACCCACTACTAATGTTTTATAGTAGTTTAAGCAGAGAAAATGTACTGGATTATAATCTGCTTGGGTTTGTTACCAGTCCCTCATAAGGACAATCAGTGTGATAGTTACCAGTCCCTCATAGAGACAATCTGTATGATAGTTACCAGTCCCTTATAGAGACAATCTGTTTGTGATAGTTACCAGTACCTCATAGAGACAATCAGTTTGTGTTAGTTATCAGCCCCTCATAGAGATAATCTGTGTGATAGTTACCGGTCCCTCATAGAGACAATCTGTGTGATAGTTACCAGTCCCTTATAGAGATAATCAGTGTGATAGTTACCAGGCCCTCATAGAGATAATCTGTTTGTGTTAGTTACCAGTCCCTCATAGAGACAATCTGTTTGTGTTAGTTACCAGTACCTCATAGAGACAATCTGTATGATAGTTACCAGTCCCTTATAGAGACAATCTGTTTGTGTTAGTTACCAGTACCTCATAGAGACAATCTGTGTGATAGTTATCGGTCCCTCATAGAGACAATCTGTGTGATAGATACCAGTCCCTCATAAGGACAATCTGTGTGTTAGTTACGGGTCCCTCATAGAGATAATCTGTTTGTGCAAGTCACTGGTCCCTAATAGAGATAATCTGTTTGTGTTAGGTACTGGTCCCTCATAGAGATAATCTGTTTGTGATAGTTACCAGTACCTCATAGAGACAATCTGTTTGTGTTAGTTACCGGTCCCTCATAGAGATAAACTGTTTGTGTTAGTTACCAGTCCCTCATAGAGATAATCTGTGGGTTAGTTACCAGTCCCTCATAGAGACAATCTATGTGATAGTTACCAGTCCCTCATAGAGACAATCTGTGGGATCGTTACCAGTCCCTCATAGAGACAATCTGCTTGTGATAGTTACCAGTCCCTCATAGAGAGAATCTGTGTGATAGTTACCAGTCCCTCATAGTGACAATCTGTTTGTGTTAGTTACCAGTCCCTCATAGAGACAATCTATGTGATAGTTACCAGTCCCTCATAGAGACAATCAGTTTGTGTTAGTTACCGGTCCCTCATAGAGATAAACTGTTTGTGTTAGTTACCAGTCCCTCATAGAGACAATCTATGTGATAGTTACCAGTCCCTCATAGAGACAGTCTGTGTGATAGTTACCAGTCCCTCATAGTGACAATCTGTTTGTGTTAGTTACCAGTCCCTCATAGAGATAATCTGTTTGTGATAGTTACCAGTCCCTCATAGAGAGAATCTGTGTGATAGTTACCAGTCCCTCATAAGGACAATCTGTATGTTAGTTACCGGTCCCTTATAGAGATAATCTGTTTGTGCTAGTTACTGGTCCCTAATAGAGATAATCTGTTTGTGTTAGTTACTGGTCCCTCATAGAGACAATCTGTGTGATAGATACCAGTCCCTCATAAGGACAATCTGTGTGTTAGTTCCCGGTCCCTCATAGAGATAATCTGTTTGTGCTAGTTACTGGTCCCTCATAGAGATAATCTGTTTGTGCAAGTTACTGGTCCCTAATAGAGATAATCTGTTTGTGTTAGTTACTGGTCCCTCATAGAGATAAACTGTTTGTGATAGTTACCAGTCCCTCATAGAGAGAATCTGTGTGATAGTTACCAGTCCCTCATAAGGACAATCTGTGCGTTAGTTACCGGTCCCTCATAGAGATAATCTGTGTGATAGTTACCATTCCCTCATAGAGACAATCTGTGTGATCGTTACCAGTCCCTCATAGAGATAATCTGTTTGATAGTTACCAGTCCATCATAGAGATAATCTGTGTGATAGTTACCAGTCCATCATAGAGATAATCTGTGTGATAGTTACCAGGCCCTCATAGAGACAATCTGTTTGTGATAGATACCAGTCCCTCATAGAGACAATCTGTTTGTGATAGATACCAGTCCCTCATAGAGACAATCTGTGTTAGTTACCAGTCCCTCATAGAGACAATCTATGTGATAGTTACCAGTCCCTCATAGAGACAGTCTGTGTGATAGTTACCAGTCCCTCATAGAAATAATCTGTTTGATAGTTACCAGTCCCTCATAGAGACAATCAGTTTGTGTTAGTTATCAGCCCCTCATAGAGATAATCTGTTTGTGCTAGTTACTGGTCCCTCATAGAGATAATCTGTTTGTGCTAGTTACTGGTCCCTAATAGAGATAATCTGTTTGTGTTAGTTACTGGTCCATCATAGAGACAATCTGTGTGATAGTTACCGGTCCATCATAGAGACAATCTGTGTGTTAGTTACCAGTCCCTCATAGAGATACTCTGTTTGTGTTAGTTACTGGTCCATCATAGAGACAATCTGTGTGATAGTTACCAGGCCCTCATAGAGATAATCTGTTTGTGTTAGCTACTGGTCCCTCATAGGGATAATCTGTTTGTGTTAGTTACCAGTCCCTCATAGAGATAATCAGTGTGATAGTTACCAGTCCCTCATAGAGATAATATGTGTGATAATTACCAGTCCCTCATAGAGATAATCTGTGTGTTAGTTACCAGTCCCTCATAGAGACAATCTGTTTGTGTTAGTTACAAGTCCCTCATAGAGATAATCTGTTTGTGTTAGTTACCGGTCCCTCATAGAGATAATCTGTTTGTGCTAGTTACTGGTCCCTAATAGAGATAATCTGTTTGTGTTAGTTACTGGTCCCTCATAGAGATAAACTGTTTGTGATAGTTACCAGTCCCTCATAGAGATAATATGTGTGATAATTACCAGTCCCTCATAGAGATAATCTGTTTGTGCTAGTTACTGGTCCCTCATAGAGATAATCTGTGTGATAGTTACTGGTCCCTCATAGAGATAATCGGTTTGTGTTAGTTACTGGTCCCTCATAGAGATAAACTGTTTGTGATAGTTACCAGTCCCTCATAGAGAGAATCTGTGTGATAGTTACCAGTCCCTCATAGAAATAATCTGTTTGATAGTTACCAGTCCCTCATAGAGACAATCTGTTTGTGATAGTTACCAGTACCTCATAGAGACAATCTGGTTGTGTTAGTTACCAGTACCTCATAGAGACAATCTGTGTGATAGTTACCAGTCCCTCATAAGGACAATCTGTGTGTTAGTTACCGGTCCCTTATAGAGATAATCTGTTTGTGCTAGTTACTGGTCCCTAATAGAGATAATCTGTTTGTGTTAGTTACTGGTCCCTCATAGAGATAATCTGTTTGTGATAGTTACCAGTCCCTCATAGAGATAATCTGTTTGTGTTAGTTACTGGTCCATCATAGAGACAATCTGTGTGATAGTTACCAGTCCGTCATAGAGACAATCTGTGTGATAGTTACCAGTCCCTCATAGAGATAATCTGTTTGTGTTAGTTACCGGTCCCTCATAGAGATAATCTGTTTGTGCTAGTTACTGGTCCCTCATAGAGATAATCTGTTTGTGCTAGTTACTGGTCCATCATAGAGACAATCTGTGTGATAGTTACTGGTCCCTCATAGAGATAATCGGTTTGTGTTAGTTACTGGTCCCTCATAGAGATAATCTGTTTGTGCTAGTTAATGGTCCCTCATAGGGATAATCTGTGTGATAGTTACCAGTCCCTCATAGAGATCATCTCAATCTGTTTGTGTTTGTAACAGTACCATTATTTGTTTAAAAATGATGGTCACTAGGCTATAAATTCCATAATATTATTTCTAAATCACTTAAAATGATTTGATAGTTTTCTTGTGTGTATGTTATGTTTGTGTCTGCCTGCAGAGGGCATGGAAGAGGATCGGGACCCGGACTGTGCCATCTGTATGGACCGAATGCGAGACTGCCTCCTCTGTCCCTGCCACCATATGATCACGTGTTACGAATGTTCAAAGATGCTCCATAATCGGCGGGATGGGTGTCCAGTATGTCGGAAGGACATTACAGAACTTATCCGGGTCTATCACTCATAACTACTGAACTCTTGTGAGAATTTTTACAAAATTCTTTGAGGATGTTAACAACAGAAGGGGACATCATCCAAGTGAAATGACCACTGACCATCGAAGGGGCGTCAGCATGGTTCCTGATACAGAACTCTTTTGGAGGATGCCCCACTACCTTTTTGATAAAGGGAGGACAAACACTAAGAAATGAAGTTTGGAAAAGATGTGATTTATCTGTACCTTCTAAATTTACCTCTGTTACAATATTGTGTACAGTCGTGTTCATAGGATTATTGTAGTGTTTGTTTTACTACTGTTTTAATACAGTAAAGAAATAATTTATTGTTGAGTGAACAAAGACAATTCAGAAGATGATACTAAATTGTACTGATGCAGGATCAAAATGAGGAATGATATGTACTTAAATATGTAGGTAGCAGTAAAGGGATGATTTCAATGTACAGCTGTACTTAAATATGTAGGTAGCAGTAAAGGGATGATTTCAATGTACAGCTGTACTTAAATATGTAGGTAGCAGTAAAGGGATGATTTCAATGTACAGCTGTACTTAAAGATAACAGGCAATTTTAATGTATATAGGAATTAACTTATGTTTTAGCATTACTTCATGGGGAAATTCTTGCGATATATAAGTAATTGTCTATATATTCTCACAGATACATGTATATGACGTTCAGGGCAATGAAATAAAGAGACATGCATAATAATTTTTACAAAAAAAAAAACAATAGAAAAATTATGCCATTTACTTTATGGTTTGGTCATAAATTTCAAATTGTGGTTGTGACATGGGAATCACAAAGCATCGTATTTGTTGTTAATAGCAGACACTCGCAGTATGTGGGAGTTACCCCCCTTTACACACGCTTCTATATGCACTGTGTGTGTGTTTATATTTACTGCCTAGGATCCAAATCATAGCAGAGCACTTAACTAATAGAATTCTTTATATTGTTTTAATGTGACAAGTATGTATATTAGGCTAGCTGTTTACTTGTTTCAGCAGCATCTAGTCTGTAGATGTAAATAATAATCTGGTGTTGTATTAACTTGTATACATATTGATTAAGAACAAATTTCCAGAATAATAGGTATTTCAGGTAAATGAAGAAAGTAACCGACACACATTTACCAGCTTTTACTTTACAGGGTGTACCCATTCAACCCTGCAGACTTCCTCCTGCTGAATTATGATAAAAAGTGCATCCTAACACTTTGATGTGTATAGAATAAAAACATAAACAAAGGCTGTACTGACATGCCCATGTAACAAGATATAACAGCACTCCCAAGATTTTACATTGTGTCTTTGTCACTGTTTTCAGCCAACCATGAATTATTTAAAACAAAACAAAAACTTGTTCAAAGTTACTTTTTTTGTTTCCATGGCTTCACTGTGATGTGTGTAGATATGGATGAATGATCACAGTTAATAGATCTAGATGTGAAACTTCAGATAATCACCTGTAGCCATCTACAAGACAATATCACTTAAAATTTTAAAAAAAACTGTGGATATTAAATGGAGGGAATTTAACATCTGTGAATAGCTGAATTGTCTGGTCCATCAGGCAGCTGTCGTGTCTAGTCCATCAGCTAGCATTTGTGACCATGCTGAAAAGTTGATGATTATCCACATGCTAAAGTTAGCATAGTGAAGTGGGACGTGTATACGAGGATGGCTGTTTGGCGTGAATCAAAGCCTGGTGATCGGTTATACCAGTCGCTGTTAACAATACCTTACCAGTGTTTCATTGTCTTATGTAGAAGTAAGTTTGCTTGACTTCAACATTTCTGTATTGTCATCTTTCAATTTCTTAATCATGTGCAGACAGATGATCTTCACAATATTCTAACCCGATTGTTATATTTGTAAAAACAAATTAGCTGGTCTATCACATTGTGTTACATATATTTCAGGCATTAATTCCTGTGATGGGAAGTAAATAAGTGATTATCATCGGGAAATCAAATACCTAAAAATTGGTTTTATTTGGAGTTTTACTGTTTCTGAAATTATTATGCATCATGAAATATTGTCCGTTATATCTTACTGTTAAGAATAAGCTAACAATTAGGTTTCAGTAAACTGATGTCAGACATCTTAGAATTTAATTAAAGATAATGACAAAGTGTTTATTGATACTACTAGCTACATTTAAGGTGTTGTCTATTTAGATATTAAAATTTGTTTTGTGTTTTGTTTTTAATGAATAAAATCATTTTGACTTGCTATCCTTTCATTAGAGATTGATGATCACGCCAAGGCTTGCACTTTACACATTATATCTGCGAGTTGTACCGTAGTTATATTCAAATACTTTAATAAGTAACTACCCTACACATTATACAGACTGCGACTTGTGTTGGAGCTACCTTCATGATCTGATTTAGAATTAATGGAAATACTGTTAATACAAACCTATCGGTTAAGATTCATTAGATAACAGACAAATGTGTTTAGTGTTGAATTCGTTTAGAACTGAAGAAACAAGATACATGTTTCAGTAGGGTAGTTTAAAAACTTCATGATAGGTATCGTATATTTCCTTTGAAATGATAACACGTGGACTAAGATGTATCTGTGATATTTGTTAACTATTTGTAGCGGCATTGTCACTTTTTGTGTCATTTCTATAACTATTTAAGTTGTTATCGAAAAATAAACATTTATTGTTTTCTTCATATTTTGTATCGTGGTTTTTATTTTATTTTTCATGTATGAAAATATTGTAAAGAGTACCTGCTGTTGGTTCTATGATTACAATACAGATCTACCGGTAATACAGATCTACCGGTAATACAGATCTACCGGTAAACAAGATGGGTAGTTTGATCAGTTTGCTTTTCATTATTTAACCTTAAACATGGTCTCGCCTGATATTTTTGGGTTTGTTTGTGTTTTACGTCCTATTGACAGCTATGGTCATTTAAGGACGTGCCAGGTTTTGGTGATGGAGGAAAGCCGAAGTTCCCGGAGACAAGAATTCCACGGAAGTGGATGTGTCGCCTGCGCAGGAAGCTGGGAGATTGTGCTTAGCACTGCATGAAGTTTGAGTTTGATCGGCCCAAGGAAACTCAAGTTATCGCACGAAAACAGATTTTCTATTTATAGTAACAGTGACCTTAACCTTTGACCTTCGGACCTGAAAAGCAATCTCAAGCAAGCACTTTTTGTAAGGAAGCACTGCATGAAGTTTGAGTTTGATCGGCCCAAGGAAACTCAAGTTATCGCACGAAAACCTCTGTGCGGACGCCGCCGATGCCGCCATAGCAATACCTATGTGTCACCAGCTTTTCGCAGGCGACACAAAAAACACGACCTATGGCCGGTACCTGGCGACTGCTCCCCGAGGTGTGATATAAAGTGCCCAAGAGCTTGAAACTAAATATTAGATTGAAGTCAAGTGTTCTAAAGTATAGAAACTTACGAGTACAACATTACACTGGCGGTTGTATCACAGAAGAGAAGAATAAAGTAGAGAACCTGAGTATAGACTTTATTCATAATAATACACATAGTTGGGTAACAGAGGATACTGATTGCAACGTGGCCGTTATACCAGCCCATATCTACAGTGGAACCTCCGTAGCCTGGACACTTTTAGTTTACAACACATATTCGCAATAACTTTCTAATTCACTGAACATTTTCAAAATAAATATACCAGTAAACAAAGACTAGCATCCAGATTCAGCTGAATTTCATTATAGCTTATAAATAATTATACAATTCCTGTCCAATCAAAATAAATTTTAAATTACTAACATTGTCATATGTCGATTGATGTGCAAAAATCGTCATTGACCAGATACAAAACAATTTAAAATTCAGTTCAAGATTTTTTTATATACCAGGTATGTATATGACAATGTGTCTTATATAAATTAGAGAAAGAAAACAACACCTTTGTGTAAAAGACTAGTGATGTGAGTTACCAGAGTCCAGTTTAAGGGGGTTCCACAGTACATACCATACATCTTATTCTATAGAGTGAACATAGCTAAATTACACATTAATGTTGATTTTATAAAAAATTTGATTTCTGCCAACATGTGTAGCCATATCTCTTTAACTTAAATGGAAGTGAGGGCTAGTTCAGCCCCGGTTGATTATATTTAAAACATGTTAAAATTCCATACAATTTAAAGGAAACTATTAAAATCATTAAATGATACTTAAATACTCGATACTTTGTCAATGGAGTTGTCTATAAATTAAAAATAGTGCTTATTACTAGAAACTGTAGGTGGCTATGGAATGTATGTACTGATATTATCAACAGTTGTTTATTTTGAAACGCTTATTTCTTTATAAAGCATTTCTTTTGTTATGGAAAATTACGAACTTAAATTAAACTTGCTAAATCTATTTTACATGAAATTTTGAAATAAATATATGTGAAAACAAAAAAGATAAAATATTTTTCCCGATCCTTTGTCATGGCTATGCCCAGCACCCTGTCGACGGATTGTCATGTATGCTCAAAGAACATGCAACATCTACCCTAAACTTGTACTAGTACAGCTTTTAACAAGATTATGCTCACTGCATTTTATGACAATAATTCATGTTTATATATAAATATTGAAGTTTTTCTCCAACAAAACATTAACTTTGACCCAATTTTAGTAATCTGTAGAGTTGAGGTCATCGGATAGAATACAAGAAACTTTTCAGAAGGTGTCAGGTCATCTACTGGGTATATATATAGGATCAGATGATAGATTGATTCCTACAGTTGGAGATCATATATTTAACATGAGAATATTTCTCCTCAGAAGTTTGATGGTCCAGTATATTGTCTGATTGTGGTGAAATAAACAAATCATGTCAGACACATGACTTTTACAAAAGGTGACATATTGACCTATGAATAAGTTTTATATCGTACATGTATAATATGCTCTTATTTAAGATGCGAGACAAATCATGACATCCTACAAGACCACTTGGAGATATCTATTGGTGGTACAGAAAACATTTTCTTTTAAAACTTATTTCTGAAAAATTACATGTTTGAAATCCTTCCACCGCAAAGGGGGGTAACTCTGTTATATCTAGATAAGTTAAAAATGTCTGAGGACTGTTCTGAGGATTAATTTCGTCACAAGTAAATATGTTGGAAAGTTGTTTTTCTGAGGACAATGCCAGGCTTAGGTGATTTTTCAATAATTACAATTATATAAAAATTATTATCTAACCTGAACTTGGTTGAAAATGTCACAAAACTACTCTTTAAATTCATTCATAAATGTTCACCCGTCAACGAATAGGATTAACTGTAATCTTAATATGTTATTTCCATATTTGATAGATCACATATTTTAGGTGGCAAGAAATTTGCAAAACTAAATCCAATATAAAGTACTAAATTAAGAAACAAATTCCATTCTTTCAAGACTATAAACTTTTATAATTACTGTCTATATTTAAATCTAATTTGAATACTGAACTTGATTAGATCTTTTAACAATTGCAATTTGTTTAAATTGAACAGAATTCAAAAGGATTTGATTTATAAGATCCAAAATGTATATACTGGTTTTCAATACCATTACACTATGTATCAAACTTTTTGATAATGGCATGCATATAAATATACAACCAAAAATATACTGCAAATCTTTTATTTTTGTGAGTATTGATTTCTGTATCAATTACTCCAAAGAATCTGATTTCACAACTCGATGAAAATTTTACGAATGAATGTTTTTAAATTTAAACCTTTTAGCCCACAGACATTGATAGTAACCCCCTTTAACTTGGTACTGGATATTGATACGAGGTAATAATTGCTGTAGAGGTTAAAGTTACTACCGGGGGTATTCAATATTTGCACCATACAGAATTCAGCAGATCTCTCGCGACGACAGCGAACCTCACTTACGCTAAGTTGAACCGATCACTCTACGAACTTGTTGTCTTCTTATATAACGATCTAATGTCAAGTCTGAAAATGACATAATTATTAGTAATCCAGGATGTTTACGGAAGTAAGAAGTACAATATAATGTGGTTCCACTATATAAGGTATTTTTTGGCGACCTAAATATTAACATTTAAAATGTGTTTTATATATTGCACTTAAATACATATTTGTCTAATTACGGAATGTTTTTACAAAATGCATAGACACACATATATAAATGATGGAAACATATGATAAAAGATATATACAGCAATGTTATATATTTTGTATATAAGTATTTATAATTACATATATTTTGTATACAATTATTTGTATTTACACAAATAGATTTTGATAAAAAATGATAATAGGACATCAAAAAGAACCTGTTATTGATAAAAATAATTTATTTTACATATATACAATATTTTTCAATATCTATAATAAGCCTTTAGTTCAGAAAGCTGTGTATTGCATTTGACACAAAAATGAACATTTTTTCTTTTTTCACGCTATGACATTGCAGATCAAATTTAATAATATATATATGTAGTTAATAATAATGCTTCAGCATGTTTATTTTCATCTCTATTACATTCCATTTAACTCAGTTAAACCTACATATTACCTATATGTGTTATCTATCTGTAACACTGTCTTTATGGCGTTTAACTTACTAATTTTATTTTATTATCCATTACAATTTGCCTTTATAATTAAATTCAACCTATAAATTTTATAGAATATTTTTAGGTGGTATACGCTGCCATGTAGACAAATGTTGCCTTAATTGTTCATATTTTTCTTCAGAGTCTGCATGTTAACATATTTTTTTCGAAACTTTGGATACATATTACATGTACTGGCTGGAGGTACACATGTAAATATAGAGTGCTTTTTGACAGTTACATATGTCTGCTAGAAATATTAAACTTTGGTATATAGCCGACAATAATTCTAATGCTTCTAGGACATTTTCTAATATGTACTCTATATTTAATGTCAATTACTATTTATTTTAATGTTCCCATCGTAAGACTTTCACCAGATAAAGATATGAGTGATCTGAAAAAGTAATAGACATGATATTGGACATTTGAGATGGATTATTTTTTTTCTCTGTGGTCCTTTAACTTTAAGTATTGTTTCATCTAGAAATAACCCTAGAATGTTGGAAAGTAAATCTGTTTAAAATCTGTTTTTTTCTTAATTATGACCTATGACGTTTTAACAACATTACCAATCTTAAGATCCTCCGATTGAGTAAACATGTCTTAGAGCACAGATTTATATCATAAACTGAGGTAGCAATATTTGGACACACAGATACACGGTACAGACAGATAACTATTTGCCCCAGTAGTTCAAACTCTGGCCCGCTAAATGATAAACTAACATTTACATATAAAATTACTTAATATTTCTGAGGAAAACACGACTTTGTAAAATCATTTACACAACATTATAAATATATACTCTACAGGTGATGCTGTCTATCAATTCTCACCATGCTAGTGTTTCGTGTGTGTACACAAAACATGTTTGATGAATGAAGAGTTCAAAATATATGTACCAGGTTTCAAACATACATGACTTTCCAGCTAATCGTCACAGCAGAAAATATCAGATATTTTACATGATTTGGCAAAAAGTTGCATGGTTTTTGACACATTTCCTTCCTTGTACAACATATATACACATAATATACCAGACATAAATGATCTATGTTATGTTAATCAAACATATGTATGTTATACCTCAATACATGTATGTGTCGATTCCTGGTACATTTTCAAGTGTCTGGAAAGGAGTAAATAGTATGGAATGGCATGATGGTCATTTTGTATACCACTAAAACTTGAATTTTGTTTGACACGTAATTTGAGATGATTTTATGTATGAATGCACAGTTAAGATAGTACAAAGTACCAGTGATCTATACCAGTCGTTCTGTAATTAGAAAACAACTACCTTCATTTAATTATAGGTCCCGGCATAAGACTTCACCATGTCACAAAAACTATGTTTATAATGATAAATAGACAATGATGGCAGTAAACACAAGTGTCATGGCCCTCCTCCCACACAGTGGCCCTTCTCCAACACAGCTCATGTTGGAATGTTCAACATATAGTATGTCTTGCGTAACCAGAATGACGTTATTCTGTAGTCTTTAAAAATATGAAAATATGAGGCATTATATTAGTACACATCACCGAGGTAGAATATCTATATACATGTGACCTTGAACACAGCTACTGCCCTCAACTTTGTTACCATATGTATCCAACAATAAGCCCATGCCTGGTAATAAGCCCACCCATATCTATTGGAGTTCAATAGAAATGTCAAAAAAACTATTTCATTGTCCTGTAGCAAGCCCGATCCCCTGATCTGAGTCAGAGATTGTATGTTGGCCCCTGAGCTTATTGATGATCAATACAGTAACATCATTAAAGTTGACCTTGAGTCAGAAGCAGCTAGGGTAATTACTCTGACCTAAACTCATAGGTAGCAGGATTAACACTGACCTTGCCCCCTATACAGTACCATCATTGAAGTTGACCTCGAGACAGAAGCAGCTATGTTAATTACTCTGACCTTAACTCATAGGTAGCAGTATTAACACTGACCTTGACCCCTATACAGTACCATCATTGAAATTGACCTTGAGTCAGAAGCAGCTATGGTAATTACTCTGACCTAAACTCATAGGTAGCAGTATTAACACTAACCTTGACCCCTATACAGTACCATCATTAAAGCTGACCTTAAGTCAGAAGCAGCTATGGTAATTACTCTGACCTTAACTCATAGGTAGCAGTATTAACAATGACCTTGACCCCTATACAGTACCATAAACACCAACACTGATCACTAAGCATCCGCAATAGCAGATACTTAAACTCCAATGCTGCAATAGCACTGACCTAGACCCCTAGGCAGCAGCAGTAATAGTGACCTTGACCTTGTCTTACCTCCTATAATCACCAACATTAATGGTCAAGGTAGAAGTAATAGGTTACTGAAGTTATCTTACTAGCACAGTCACTGCCTGTATATCTTGTAAATTGTATATGGTGTTATTTCTAACTGTTCATGAGTGGTCAACTTAAATCAACCTTGACCTTTGGTTGGGCAGAGGTAATCTTGACCCGTAACAGAGTGGTGTTTATTTTTGTCCCACATTTTAGCTAGCAGTCTGTGTCATCCACCTCAGATGTGGTACTCACAGCGACGTTGAAGCCTCCATTACCTGACACTTCATACTTTGACGTAAGTGCATTCGTGATGACCTCATTGTTTTCCTGATCTGTACTGATGGACTGTTCATTGTGCACATCCATGAGGCTGAATGGTGTTTTGGTGGGTGTTGTTTCCGGGGAAATGGCTACATAATTCTCCCCATTAGCAGTAGTGTAGGGTGGTGGAGGGGTAGAACTTTCACTGTGACTGGTTGATTCAGAAGTTAGAATCATAGAATCAGAATTATCTGATAAATTTGCTAGATTTTCTCTTGCCCTGAATATGTTTGCCCTCATAAGTCTTGGGTTATCAATGTCATTTAAGTTTTCTTCAGAGGAAGTCACACTATTGTCATTGTAAGTACTCTGTAGTACCAGCGTACTTTCCCCTTCATCGTCCAGTTTCTGTTCTGTCCAATCACTGACCGAGTCATTCTGGGGAATGTCTGAGAATAATTCTGAGCGCACCAGTCTTTTTCCTGACCAATCAAGATCACTCTCCTCTCCTTCAGATGATTTGTTGACGTCCTTCAGTGAACCTGTGTGTTGTTTCTGTTCCAGCGATGAGAGCTCGGTCCCTGCGTATGACATTGATTTCGACACTGCATTGTGCTCATAATTTATTGTCCGTTGCACACCACTTACAATGTCGTCCCTAATCACATAGGCTATACCTCCTTTAGGATCACCAGAGGAGTGGGAATTTTTCTTCTTTTCTGATTCAATGGCATGTAATTCCTGCACAGAGATGTCGTAAGCCACACCACTTTGCGTCTCCTTGGTATTCCTCTTTGGGAATGGTGTAGAAAACAAGCTGGGGTCAGAGGTCATGTTTAGGCTGAAGTCCACATCTGATAAATCTTTTTCTATTTCAACCATTGTGTCTTTGTTTTCAGATGAACTTCGGTCATCATCATCATCAGCAGTATCATCATCCTCACTAACAGAATCCTGTAGGTGGTGCTTGTTTGTCTGCAAGCTGTCTCCAGTGTCCCCTGCTGGGGAGAATAAACAAGGCATCACTGCCTCAAGTGGCTCCTTGGAGAGGAACTGAGGCATGATTGCGTCCTCTTCAATGGGTATTTGTGGACTGCGTGGTCGGGTCAATGTACTCTCCATGTCAGACAGGCTGTAATCGACGAGAGTGTGACTACAGTCCCCACCACTGTCCTCTCCCTCCTCCTTAGGGACAGGTGGCGGTGGTCCAAGGTCTGGAGGGAGTTTGCTTGGCATGGCCACCTCAGTCAACTCTTCTGACTTGGTTACTAGGGGAGATAACTGAAAGCTTTTAGAACCAACACTAGTATCTCTGTCATGTTTTTTTGCAACAATAAAATCCTCAGAGACCTCGAGTGTGTTGATTGGCCGACACTCGGATACCATGGAGACGGAAGGTACGATGTCTTCACTTGATATTTCCTGAGGAATTTCGCTGAAGTCTTGCGGTGTTCCTGGCTCACTGCCCTCTTCCCCGGAGTTTTTCTTTTTCCTACGTTCTGGCTTCATGGGAGGAGGAGACCTCAATTCTATGTTAACATAATCTGAATTTAATACCGGAGAATCTGTTTTGATTTCAAAGTCAGGTAAAGAAGCCTCTACTTTTGTTTCATTTTCTGGTATCACTACACTTTCATTAGCACTTGTGTCGGGGTCCTCATAACTTAGACGTAGCATATCTAGTTTATCTTCCTCGTTTAACTTATCAAATACATCCACAAAGTCCCTGGCAGTCTCGGCGTCGGTGCTATCGTTAGTTTGCAATATTGGCTCGGGGATTTGGGACACAGGAGAATCTGTCGGCTTATCTTCCTTAACAAACTTAACAGCTGGAGTAAGCTTTTTATTGTCTTTATTTCTTAGCTGCACATTTTTCGTTTCAACTTCTACGCTAATATCATCCACGTTATGAACTATTACATCTGAAGACACCACAGCTTTGCTTAAATTAATATTCTTAGCAGGAATCACTTTGATCTGTGGAATCTCTGTCGCCCGTATTGGACTGGGTTTAATCTCCTCTGGGACACTAGTCTGTTTTACATGTAGTACATTCTTCTTAGGAGAGCCATTCGTCCGTGTTTCCGATCTCATTTCACTAAAGCTTCTTTTAGGAGTCACTTTCCCCTGCCGATTGATCTTTATTAAGGTGTCCACTGATTGGCTGCGATATAACGGATGAGCCAGGCGGGTGCTTTGGTCGCTGAGACGCCGGTTCTTCTGACGTTGATGTTCCTTCTGTAGTGTGACCTTGACAGGGTACGGGGATGCATAACTTAGGATGGTCAGGGCATCTTCAAATACCATGTTGGCAAACGAGATAGTTACACTTTGAATTCGGTCTCCTGCAAGACACAAAGAATCAATCAGACAAATGCCTTTATGGCATAGAAACTTTAACAGTTAAATATTACATAGGTATTTACACACTGTATACAACCATTTGACAATCATTTGAAATTTGCTTGGATCTTTGCTTCCAGTGGAAATCTGCACATACACTTCACAAAATATAAACATCCACATCAATTTGTGTGGCAAGTGGATTGTGAAGTAAATATTTTAAATTGTTCGAAGCTTAGTCATAATCATTACATTCACCTTTATTTCGTATATACAGACACAGGATATTATTAGATTTATTACTATTGTTTGGCCAGAAATACACCCAACCTAGGGCTGATTTTACTAGTATATACCTAATATCAGAATAAAAACTTACTATCTTCGAATTTATACCCAACCCCATAGCCTTAAACTCACCAACGTTTGATTACCTATTACATACACAAAAACACAGACTGACATATTATTTGCCAACTTTAAATTATCCAAATCTGTGAAATACTACTTACCAACTTTGAATTTACCCGACTCTATGGCTGGGCCCCTGTTGTGAACCTGACTGACAAAAATCCCATCCCTCATACTGCCAGCGATGTTGAAGCCTAAGCCGATGAAATCCTGGCTCTGTAGCCATACACTGGTCACTTCCGGATCCTGTGGTCAAGCAACAAATACATACATCAGTTTGACAAGAAAGAGTAGCCATTGATTCTTTTAAGTTGAAAATAAGAAAAATGTTGGTTTCAATTTCATATTTATTCAACCCAAGCTATTGTATAGAGGCCATATAGTGTTACCCAATCCATGTCCGTCCTGTTCTGTCCTGTCCCTCTGTCATCGCTCTACTGACTTTATTTCTAAACAGATTTTGATGATCAAACTTTACACAATGGTCAAGTACGTAAAGGGAATACCTCAAACAAGATCATGTTTTGGGTTCAAAGGTCAAGGCTAAAGTTATTGTTACTATTTATAGAAATTTGTCAACTGAATTTGTCAGTGAAACCCCCTGGCAATACAATTCGTTAACAGATTTTCATCAACCTTATCCAAAGGTCAAGGATGAGAATACTTTGAAAGTGTTTGAATTTCAAGAACCAAAGGTCAAAAGTCAAGGTCATTGCTATTGTTTACATTTATTTTATTTTAAATTACGTTAATTAAACTGCATGGAAGTGGGAGCATTTATGTTTCACAAACATCTTCCAGGCTTTAGAGAGGTAACTAGCTCATACCCCCGGTAGTTACAGTATAAATCTGAGTTAGGGGTCATTTATAGGGGAATCAGCCGTTCTTCTTCCTCAGAGGTATATTTCATCTCGCATGACAAGTAACAAAACATACTTATAAAATTCTGTAAAAAAGATCAGTGACTTGACAAACAGTCTTTGTGAGCTAGTATATAAAATGATAATTAAGTCAAAACTTAAATTTAGTTCAGTCATCTAACTCAACCCGACCCATCACATAGAAATTATAAATCCTACAGGTAATTATAATGATTTATCTGTTCTAACTTCCGTGACAAACAGGTGTGTTCTTATGGTGAACAGGTATTGCCTGTTTGTATATTTGTATGCATACCTGTATATCTCTTCATAAAAGTGAATCACAAATTAATGTAATAATGTTGGGATCTATATATATATATATATCCCTGAAGTTTAAACCGGTTTCATCAAGATCAAAAACCATATACTATGACTACAAAAATAAATTCACAATTTTTTAAAAACACTTATAACACCCCTGATAAAACTATATTAGGAGAAATTAAAGTGATTACTTTTGTAATGCATAAATGTTAAACGAAGGTTAAAAGTTAAGTAGATTTGACCTTAAGTACAGTTGAAGTGCTACTATATATATATGTATATAATTTTAATGGCTAGTTCTTTGTCACCTATATCTAGTTAGATATCTACTTTATGTTATCAAGATTTAGCTCAAACTATTCCAACCTTTGAATAGGAAGAGTTCAAATGGGGCTTTAGGGGTGAATGAGTTAAAAAGGAATTTCAAGATAAAAAAAATCCACTGAAAAACTATTAACAGGACACATGAATCTCATTTTGAGACTGTTAATATATCCGACTGATTGGGTGATCTAATGACCAACATCAGTCAGAGGTCAGTCAGAGGTCGCTCAATACCAGGACAAGTGTATACCTATTGGTGTATACGTATCCAAACAAAAGTACAGAAAGGCCTGTAGTTCATTTATTATACCATACATCATAAACTATACAAGAAGAGTGAGGCCCTGTATAGTTCTGTCTAGTGAAGGTCATGTCAAGGTCACCAATACCATATGTCACAGCGCTATACTTGATGGGTGGGGGCCGTATGTGGTAATCCCTGTGTGGTGAAGAAACCTTTCACCAACATTCAGAGTTGTCAACCTTAGATATATATATATGAAAACTCTCAGCTGTATACAACCAATTAAATGAAGCCAGCGTTTGGTATACAGCAGTTTCTGGGAGGTACAGCACAATTATTGTCGTAACATTCAACACATTCATTTATCTTGATACGATACATACAGGCCTTTTATAATCACTAATTTCTTATTTCTTATATTTATCATAATAAACAAGAAGTTATCTCAAAATACTATTCATATTTAATCTAAATGCCTAAAATACGAATTGAAAATACTATTTAGGTTGAAAACTCCACTCGGACACGATCATTGCTATTAATCTCTGTTTGGCATTATCCTAATACATGTATAAACATCCCAGTTTGCCCCTGGCATTTAAAAACTGACCACTGACCAAGCCTTTCAGTGACGATCCCTGACCACACAATGACCCAACAATTTATACCCTCGATGTGTCATCGCCTATTTTAGACAGTAGTATAAACACTATGACTTTATCGGGTACGAATCAGTTGTTAGTTTCCAGTGAATATTTCGGTCAGTTTAACATGATCTATTTGGCTGTTATTGTTCAATAACAAAAGGCATACACTGTATATCTATGCTGTGAAAAAATTCTAACAATAAAGTTGTTTTTATTCGTAAATTTAAATTGACTGAGTCTGGTATTTCAAGGGTCTTTTGAGTTTTACTTATGTATAATTCACTTCTTTTCATGTCCATCAGATAAATCTCTGCACTCAAAATATTTGCACCGAGTAACTTTACAGGGGGAGCCACACCAAAGCTGTACAATAGGCCGACATACATTAGCCGTTTGTTCAAATTTCCGCTGACATGCTCAATGCTTTGTGGCGCCAGAAAGTGATCATTCTGCTAGAAAATAGGGTAAAATTTCTAGCACTTGATTGGACAAGAATAAAAGTAAATGCGTGGATAGGAAATCACAGCATGAACAACTCAATAATGGTTGACCTGTTCAACTTTAAAACAAGTTATTTTGTAAGAAATATGAAATCTTAAATTGATTTATTATTTAATTTTCTGTTCTTCACCAAAAGGTTAAATCAATTAAGAAAAAAATACTTTGACAATAAATGCACTTTGAACATTTTGTCAATGTGAAAAATATATCTATACTGTATGCTGGTTTTTAAATAAAGTATTTGTTGACCCCAGGCCTCAGTGAACCCTATAGACATGAATATAATTGACAACTATGTACTAGAACCATAAGCTGCAGGCTAGATAATACCCCTGATACTGTCTTAGGGTGAAATGTTTGGAAACTAATACCATTAACAATGAAAAATCACTTTAAACATTGATAAATTGTCCGAAAGTTTTATTGAAAACTACGTACTTATATAAAAAAAAAAACGTGGCATGGACAAGCTTGTCTCTACAAACAGATGAATGGACACTCCGATAGCTAGGAAAAATGCATGGCCAGTCTGGTATTTAAACCCAGGACCTCTAAACTCTAGATGAACACCCTAACTAACTGACCAGTACCTGGTCACTAGCAATCAGTCCAATCCAATTCCACTACAGCAGTATACAAACATACACTATTGTTGTTTAACATATTCAACTAAACGTATGATAACCTTACCATACACTGAAGATTTATTGGACCATGATATTGACTTCCACACATTAACGTGTTTGACCTTGACCTTACCATAGACATGAGTCCATCATCAAGGGAGCCCACAGACCCATTCCTCTGTAGTCCTGGTACGTCCCCCACTGGCAAGGACGCCCAGTTTTTCTTGGATGTCTCCTTCCCTCCATTGGTCTGTGGCACCTGAAAAAGTTCAGACAAAGTAATTGTAGAAACAAAGTCATCTAACATCTTTGTCTGGTTTCTCATGAAAGAAAATGAACCAGTAAAAACATTCACAAATTCCTTTTAATGTCATGTGTCATTTATCAGAGGAAATTGTGATATTAAGTGGAATGTGACATCAAGAGGACCTCTATTTTTCTGTGAAAACTACACATCGTTTAGTATGAAGAAAAAAGTCGTAAGTCCATGTCTAAAATCATACTTTTGACCTGAAATATCAATCCATTTTTGTCCAAACTCATAAAAACTAGATACCTCTTTTACTTAAATTCAATAGATAGTTTTACATACTCTAAACAAATGTGTGAAAATGGACCTTAAGGGCAATTACAAGTGCCATATGTTTCAAAATGCAGAAGTAGTTTTTAACATGATAATTTTATGTGTCAAGGCAAATGAAAACGGTACATGTCAAAAGACATGATGTAAAACCAGCTAAATCACAAACAAAGTATATAGAGAAATATTGCGATTAAAGGGAAGCATGATATTAGGAGAGATGTGATATTAAGCAATATGATATTAAGTGGAAGGGAAAGTTTTAAACTTTCTGGAAAAGCTGTCACTTTTAAACAAGTAAAAACAAGACGGCATGTATTTTGATATTTAAACAAGGATTTGTAGACATTTTTTTAGACTTACAATAATGATATAAATTCTTTCATTTAGACAAGGTATATATACGTATCATTTAGACTTTTGTCTAGATTAAAACATGGCACTGTAATACACCTACTTTTTACATAAATTCTTTTGATGAATTATTAACTGTTTTATGCTGTTGTCATCACTGACATAAGCTATAAACCAATTCCACGGGTTGTTATTGTGTTATCATTGCGTACAGTATTTTTACATTTACTGGGTAATGAGTGTTATTATTATCGAGGCCCACAGAACAGGTTTGATTTTAATTGAACCAGAAATGAAAGGCTTCACTGAAGGACAATGTTTAGTTTCCCATATACATTTACATAACCAGATTATCTGGTATTTGAGAAGCTTTTCTACAAGGGAAGTGCTATCTCTTACAAACAGAAAGGTTCTATCTTTTGATCTTGCTCATAAAAAAGAATTATGACAGATAATACGATGATCATGCAGTTTTCAGACTTTTCTCATGTTGTAAATCTGCAATAAATACTTCTCCAAAGAGAACAAAGCACGGACAATCACCCCATGAAGGCTTGTAATGGTCTTTCTTTTCTGTTTGTCATCCAAGTTCTCACTGCTGTCTTCAAATCTTTGTCAAATCACAAAGTCTGATACATAAACTTGTCAGACACAGCATTGATTAGTCAAATCTTAAAGTCAGAGATTCAAAATAAAGTCTGTTACATCACAAAGTCAGAGACATAAAACAAAGTCGGTCATAGCAGTACCAGTAAATACAGGTATATCTGTGGCACACCTGTAAAATAGGACCAGTACCAGTATATACTGGTATAACTGTGGCACACCTGTAAAATAGGACCAGTACCAGTATATACAGGTATAACTGTGGCACACCTGTAAAATAGGACCAGTACCAGTATATACTGGTATAACTGTGGCACACCTGTAAAATAAGACCAGTACCAGTAAATACTGGTATAACTGGGGCACACCTGAATAATAGGACCATTCATACCAGTCTAATACAGGTATATCTGTGGCACACCTGCATAATAGAACCATTCATACCAGTATATACACTTATATCTGTGGCACACCTGTAAAATAAGACCAGAACCAGTAAATACTGGTATAACTGTGGCACACCTGTAAAATAGGTCCACGTCATACCAGTACCAGTAAATACTGGTATATCTGTGGCACACCTGTAAAATAAGACCAGTACCAGTATATACTGGTATATCTGTGGCACACCTGTAAAATAAGACCAGTACCAGTATATACTGGAATATCTGTGGCACACCTGTAAAATAAGACCAGTACAAGTAAATACTGGTATAACTGTGGCACACCTGAATATTAGGACCAGTACCAGTAAATACTGGTATAACTGGGGCACACCTGAATAATAGGACCATTCATACCAGTCTAATACAGGTATATCTGTGGCACACCTGAATAATAGAACCATTCATACCAGTATATACAGTTATATCTGTGGCACACCTGTAAAATAAGACCAGTACCAGTATATACTGGTATATCTGTGGCACACCTGTAAAATAGGACCAGTCATACCAGTATATACAGGTGTATCTGTGGCACACCTGTAAAATAGGACCAGTACCAGTTTATACAGGTATATCTGTGGCACACCTGTGAAATAGGACCATGTAGTACCAGTATATACATGCAGGTATATGAGTGGAACACTTTTTTAAAACAGAACCAGCTATACAGGTGTATCTGTGGCACACCTGTAAAATAGGACCAGCACCAGTGTATACAAGTTTATCTGTCACACACTGTACAGGTATGGACACATATAGATAGATTTGGCATCCTTGGATTTGAAGCAAACAACTTCTATATTTTCAGTTATTCTAAAATGTAAAAATCTTTGAAGGTATTTATGACATAGACATTCACATAATATATAAACCTGAGGTAAAAATCCAATATACAAAACGCTCCATAAAACTCTTACTTCTCATTCATAATAAAAAACATTCACCGGAACATTTAAGATCTTTAGATAACAAAAGCTGGAAGTTTTAAGCTTCTCATAGAATTTGAATAAGATGTGGACACACAAGAGACTGCGGTATTTATACTATCCATGTTTTGTTCTATGGGACCTACTTTGTAGGTGCGAGTTACATGCCTGGCCTATAAACATGTCTGTATGTGGCACGACAATCACGTCCCCACACAGCCCACACAAAGGGAAGGTAACTCTATATATATCCCAGTATTAGAAAACACCGACTCAACAGCACAACAATAGAAATTTCATGTGTTTTTCTATAATACTGAGATCTGATGAGAGTCTATGTCCAGGTTTTCTGCTCAAAAAATATGTTATGAAAAACATCTGTTTTTACTTTTTTGATTTCGAAGGGCTGCTCAATTAATTTTATATGCGACACGAACTGTATAGTATAACGTACATTAAATAAGCTATATAAAACCGCATTTACATTTTCATGATCACAAATAGAGGATTCAATGGCATACCTTCCTGAAGGTTGAGTATACGCGTATTGTCATTCTCACAAAGAATAGTGTTTTTAAGGTATGTCATATTAAAAGGTTTGTAAGGACATCTGGAAAGAAACTAAAATCAAAATGAAAGACAGCATAAATCTTTAAAATCAATGATGAGGTCCTACCAGACCTTCCCAAGGATACCATTATAGCTGTATGTTGAAGCGTCAGTGTGTGACTTTTACGGTTATGCTTTGACATTAGTGTGGACAGAAACAGACAGGTAGGAATGTTACACAATTTAACACACCACACAACCCAAGTTTTCTCATAGCCACATACATCCACTCTGTCAATGTCATTTCATGGGGCAACGCCATTCTATTACTGGTAAACGATTGTGTATGCTTTTTTGTCATTGTCAGATGATGGTGTATGCTTTTTTGTCACTGTCAGATGATGGTGTATGCTTTTTTGTCACTGTTGGATGATGGTGTATGCTTTTTGTCATGACTGGATGTTCGTGTATGCTTTTTTGTCACTGTCAGATGATGGTGTATGCTTTTTATCACTGTCGGGTGTTGGTGTATGCTTTTTGTCATGACCGGATGTTCGTGTATGCTTTTTTGTCACTGTTGGATGATGGTGTATGCATTTTGTCACTGTCGGGTGTTGGTGTATGCTTTTTGTCATGACCGGATGTTCGTGTATGCTTTTTTGTCACTGTTGGATGTTGGTGTATGCATTTTGTCATTGTCGGGTGTTGGTGTATGCTTTTGTTATTACCGGGTGTTTGTGTATGCTTTTTGTCATTAGCGGATGTTCGTGTATGCTTTTCGTCATGACCGGATGTCAGGGCTCACGCTGTCGGTAGCCAAAGTAGCCATTGGCTACTTTTATTTTTTATTGGCTACTCAAAACTTGATGTGGTTACTAAATTGACTACTTATTTTTAAAAATGGGGAAACTCTGTATCTTTGTCCCAGAAAACGATCAGTCTACTCGAGCTTACGTGTGTATTTTGGCTGACACTGATTGCGTAAATATAATCAGGGCCGTCACAGATCAGCGCGCGCTGTACGACTGCGAGTTAATCAATGCTTTTGTCTAACTTGTAAAGTCAATTATCAAGCTTCAGATGGCAAAAGGTGTTATAATTCGTGTACAATAATGGACAGTGGGGTCAAGTTAATTGGATGACCCATTGACGTTGAGAAAACAGTCTGATAAGCGAGTCACACATAGGTGGCAGACGTACATTTGATGGCGCCGTAAGCCGATCTGATAAACTCGTTTGAACAAACACTGCATCCAACAAATTTATGGGTTCAGTACATTTACCTACCGTAGTAAGCAGAAATACGTCCGATATGCTTGATTAGAATTATAAGTATTGCCTTGAAATTTGTATGGATTTTGTCACTGTCAGATGATGGTGTATGCTTTTTGTCACATAAATGTAATTATATGAAGATGCATGCTGTATGTAGTTGTCACATGACAGAGCAGTGCATGCTTTGAATGACTTCTGTCCGTGCCACTAGAGGGCGCCATCAGTAGGGTACTCACCTTTGGTTTTACAGGAGAACCTTTGTACTCTTTACATTGGAGATAGCTCACTCCTGAAAGACAGAAAGACAAAGTTAACAAATTGCACGTTTTCAAATATTTCTAGATAAAACTTTTTTTTTTCCTTTGAACTGGTTGGACTTTGTTAACTGTATTGTAAAACAGCCATGAGTACCAGAATAACAAAACCTTTTCTACAGTCAGCTACCATAGAACCATTAGTTGTATAGGTAGCTACCACTACCAGACAGCCACAGAGAATTAAAAAGACCTCAGAAACAATCTACCAACCAACGATGATCTTTGCTGAGGTTAAACAGAAGGCCACGAAAAATGAAAAAAAGTGTGTAAGACAAAGACATTAGATGGTAAGTATTACAAACATAATGTAATCTGACGGAGAAAGTAGACAAAGACATTAGATGGTAAGTATTGCAAACATAGTGTAATCTGACAGAGAAAGTAGACAAAGACATTAGATGGTAAGTATTGCAAATTTAACATAATGTAATCTGACGGAGAAAGTAGACAAAGACATTAGATGGTAAGTATTGCAAATTTAACATAATGTAATCTGACGGAGAAAGTTGAACTGTAGAATGATTACCCGAAGTTCAGCAAATATAACGTAGCACAAGCCTGGCTAAAGGACACAGCATGTGGGACAGATTCAATACCAAAGTGTACGGTAAAGGTTTGATCCAACAGTGCTAATTGGTCAAGGCAGTTTGTGCTGTAGCAATGACATGGGTCATGGATACCAGAAATGGTAGATATTTTTCTATCCTTGATGAACGTTGATATCTATTGGTGTTAGGTATCCTTTGGCAAAATCTTTAGTATTTGTTTTCCTTCTTGAAAAACAAATATGAAAGATTTGGCCAAAGAAAACTGAACACCAATAGATATCAACATTGATGTTGTCGTAATAATTCTTAATAGTAAGAATCACTGATATAAATAAACAATGGAGATTTCAAATGTCAATTTGTGTGACTGTACAAAAAAGTGTTGAGTGACAGGCCCTGTGCATGTGGTATACAGGTAAGTCTATACAGGTGGGATATTTATGAACCTGTGTGTGGTAGTAACAGGTGACACATGCCTGTTTCTGTCCAGGTAGTGCTAATATAGAGCATTCTTACATGTGTTTTACATGGTCTACCATTCGGGTGTGGCCCTCGCCCGTATTTAGACAATTGTCGCTGATGACAGAGCCATGTCAGCCATATAGATCATTATCTGTCACTGCGATGTCTTGCAGCACTTTCTCTCCTAGTCTTATACATGTACAGCCCTCTTTTTCAAGGACTTCTCCAAGCCTGTGATGATATTGATAAAGTACTAGACAAATACAGTTCGCTCTGGAAAAAATGTTCATTTTGAACTTTTTTGTTTGCTAGAACTGAATTCACCCGATAAATTCTACCAGGTGTTTATGTAAGATATTTCACATCAAAGTTATTGCAGGTGTCTATATCTCGTAATCCCAAGTAAATGATTGATTTGGTGTGCGAGTATGTTGGCTCTGTGATCACTTGTTTCTGCATGCGAGGCAATTTGAAGGCAAGCAATGTCAGTATGGATGATCAAGTGGGAGTGAAATAAATATAAACGGTTCATGTTTTATCCTAAAATAATACCTTCAGCCATAACAAAGGTAGGAGTTTTATAGTGTCATTGCTTCTCTCCTCTAATTCTACTCTATACTGTAATATATGTAGAGTGGTAGGAATTGTAGTGTCATTGCTTCTCTTTTCTAATTCTACTCTATACTGTTATACTGTAGAGCACTTTTTAGTGAGCCCTTATATTTAAAACTATCTTCCAACAACTTGTATGCAAGGATTTAATTTAAAAAATGTAAGCAACAATTAGCTATATCAATATATATGGTGTACAATTTTACGAGATATCAACAATCAAATCTCCTTGTTTAATTACAGAAAACTAGAAAATCTTGGTTAAAATACTTTGTGTGAACTAAAATTGCTAGACAACTAAAATCATGTTTTCTGTCCTAGTACTGACAGGGAACACTGGGATGGACGCCACGAGTGGTGCAGGAAACAGTCTAGAGCACCTGGTTTTTAGCGGGGTTTCATGATGCAAATGCATGATTACAAATCAAATTTGGGTTCTGATTTTGTCCTTGTGTGTTGACATTGGTATACATAAAATAAAATCATATAAAAAAAAATATGAAAAGAAACTTTCATCTCATCAAGAAGATTCTGTAGACTCCATGATGAGATGAAAGCGCTAATGACATGTTATCGGGATTTTTTCTTTTTATATCATTTCTTCATGCGTACGTAAGGATCAATTTACTGCTGTTATAATATATACATTGTATAATGATATATACAGATGTGTTTCTATTTTACTTTAAAATCCATCAGCCAGGATACTATCTCTTCCTTGTTGACTATAACATCAGATAAAGATGAATTAGCTTTGAGATAGCCTAATACTGTACCAGGACTAGGAACATGTAGGTTTGTATGAGAAGCTTTGTTACATGACGAGTCAATGATAAACTTATAATCAACTTCAGTCACAGGTCACATGTTTAACTTCATTTACATAACCAACACTGGTCAGAACAGGCCCCAGAGCTGTAGCGTTTATATAGCACACAATATTACCTAACATATCCTATAAAAAGGTCCTGAGCTGATAAGTATTATTTTTCTCTTCAATATACATTCACTATACATAGATAATATAGATACGCTCGGGAATCTTAACCAGGTAGTCCAAAATCATCAACAGTAACCTGCCAATCACCCAGCACCATTAGTACTGGAATATACTGGTCCTATGGTGTGATGATGATGGTACATTTTTTCAGGCTACATTGTGTGCACATTAATACTTTCTGTAATCAACGCAACACCTTTCTCTGAAAAACACCAGGACCCAAGAGTTAATACATCAAAATCCTACTGTTCTCCATCACAATAAAATGGAGTCAATGGGACAAAAATACCTGTCCAGCTGACACAAGCCAAATGGATTGTTTTTGCTTGGGGCCAACAAACTAATGTTAAATTGACAAAGATGATATTATCTCTGATAACATATACAAACCTCCCTGAAAGACCATCTATATATAGCAACCACCTGTCTATAACTAGTAAAACCTATCTACAACAACACCTGTCTACATTGTCTACCTGTCTACAATGCACACTTGTCTACATCGACACCTGTCTACAATGACTTACTGTATACAATGACCATTACTTTTCTTTCACACTTAAGCGGTCCTTATAGATGGGTTTGACATTTACTTTCAATTTATTCATACCAGCATTATGATCATGAACTCGACTAATTTGACTGATTCAAGATCAATTGGCATTTCTCAGAAGTAACACTGGTTTGGCTATAAAGATAATTGTCAGTGACATCTTTGATTTACCTTATTAAACAATAATCAGATTATTTTTTTTTTCTTGATTTCTGCTTATTAGAAATCAATTTGTGGTAGAGGATATATGTTGGTGTATAGTAGAAATCAATTTTGGTTAGAGGATACGCTCCGAAATCCTGTTGGTGCTGTGCTTGTCCCCTGAATGAACCCTCTAATACCTGACAGCCACCAACATCACTTTGTCTTTTCCTAAACCACAATTGTTGATAAGAAAAACATTCAGATTTTACTCAGTAATGAAATGTGCTGTGTTGATGTTTATTGTGGTCAGTCCTAGGCTTCAATGACCACAGATAATGTCCAATTTTGGCCAACTTCCAGATCAAAACTGGACATAATACCTAAAGCGTTGCCAGAGGTCCAAAAGAATCGATAACCTATGCCAGTGTCCTGTGATCTGTGATACTTTACCTGTTCCTGTGTCCTATGATTAGGGGTAAACACGTTTTAGATGTACCTAATGGTCACTTACACCAGGTGTCCACCGTCCAGTTTCAGCTGACCATTGTAAATCACCAGGCTACTAACAATCACTGTCTGGTGTCAGTTTCCTTAATTCCATTGATTTTTAATCATAATCCTATTTCCTTTAAGTTTTCTATCAATCAAGCTTATTTTCATCCATTTCCCGGTTTTTTTCTGCGACCATTGTCCACACAACAATGCCAGATCCGATATCATTTGGTACAACTGTTCCCGTCACATTGTGACTGAATCGATATCTAGTACATTAATAACCCTAATATACCCACTCACATCTTTATTTTTGAAGTATTCATTATTAAGTTAGTAATGGAAGATAATTTTTTTAGTGACAACATGATGGCCAATAATTTGGTAATTGATAAACTGTCAGGTATAGATTTATAGTTAATGAACCTCAAAGATGCAGACTGTAGCCCTCAGCATCACTAACATATTCTTGTACTCTTTTACTTCTTACACTGGTCTATTATGTACTTGTCTTTATTTGGAAATAAATATTAACAATAATTTGTTTCCACGGATGGTTATAGCAAGATAATTAATGTGAATGATATGTTAATACTACAGAACAACTAGACCCACATTTAACGCTAATAGTACATGCGAAAAAATAATTATATATAGCCTATAGCAAAAATATCAAAGGGTATAGTTGAAAGAGACAAATACATAATTATCATTTCACAACAAAATAGTCATTTTTCATCACCAGACATTGTAAGTCTGGTCTGTGGTTGTAAACAGAAGAGCTTGGGCCTCACATAATCTTGTGTTTTATAAAGCCACTACTATTCATGATCGCATTAATAAGTGATAAATTACAGGTAATTTACAGGAGGAAAATATGTGGTTACTGTAGAAGGGGAGCTGAAGGCAGGATACAAATATGACTGATCGAGATATAATGAGGTTTTTGATAAATCACCCTGATGTACTGGTGTGTCTTTTACTACTTTCTTCTTATTCTTGTGATCTGTCAGGAATTTTACAAGGTTTTGCTGGCTGCAACAAATGTCATTTCTTTTTGACAGAGTGAGCCTTTTCAGTCATCTGACCAATGGTGGCAATAGTAATAGCCCGTCATCTGACAAAGTGGGGAAATAGTCAGAGCCAGTCATTTGACAAAATAAGGCAATAGTCAGAGCCTGTCAACTGACAAAGTGCAGTAATAGTAATAGCCCGTCATCTGACAAAGTGAGGAAATAGTCAGAGCCTGTCAACTGACAAAGTGCAGCAATAGTCAGAGCCAGACATCTGACAAAGTAGGGCAATAGTCAGAGCCAATCATCTGACAAAACAGGGCAATAGTCAGAGCCAATCATCTGACTAAATAGGGCAATAGTCAGATCCTGTCAACTGACAAAGTAGGGCAATAGTCAGAGCCTGTCAACTGACAAAATAGGGCAATAGTCAGAGCCAGTCATCTGACCAAGTAGAGCAATAGTCAGATCCTGTCAACTGACAAAGTGCAGCAATAGTCAGATCCTGTCAACTTTCAAAGTGCAGCAATAATCAGAGCCAGTCATCTGACAAAGTGTAGCAATAGTCAGAGCCTGTCAACTGACAAATTGCGACAGTGGTTAGATACAGCCATTAGACAAAGTGTGGCAACAGTCAGTAAAGTCGACAGCCATTTATCCTGATGTGGAACTAAACACTTCCTGTGAGGTAATTTGAGTAGAGGAGGAAATACCTGTGGGGCACATTGTGGAAGTAACACAGGTAAGGAGTGCAGAGCATCTTATCACAAATCATCTGTATGCATATTAGGTAGAGCCTGTATAGACAAGTTTTCACAAAACATAAGGTGCTGATACAGTCATCTGATACCCCCCCCTTATCACTCCATCAGTAAACTAACCCTCCATGGAATTCAGTATATTTCTGCTTCGTCCCCCTGGAATATTGGGCCATCCCATTACACACTACGCGGGGGGTGGGGGAGGAAGGTTACCTAATCAATTTAGGTAACCTAATCAATTTAACTTGATATGGATCTGGCACTTTGTAAAAGGTTTACATAATGTATGCTTGATATTAAATTTCTGGCCTGGAATTTCAAGTAGATATGTATGTTTTCAACACGTGATACTGTAATTCATGTCATGAACGTGGTGGCACACCAATACATTAGCAATGGAACAAATTATAAACATATATGATTCACAAACATTATTCAGTTTTATGTATGATTAGACACATGAAAATAGATAGACTGTGAATCTAAATTTAGATTCAAAATGAGATATTGACACTTAACAAATACATAAAATTGACTGAGGGTGCAATCAAGAAAACAATTTATTGACAGCCTTCCAAATGTATTTTAGTAGTGGGGCAAAAGGTAGAGCCACTGAAAGTCATAAGACATTGTGACAACGGTAAATCATATGTTATATGACAAAGTGGAACCATGACAAGACATAGCTATATGACAAAGTGGAACCATGACAAGACATAGCTATATGACAAAGTGGGACAATGACAAGACATAGCTATATGACAAAGTGGNAGACATAACTATATGACAAAGTGGGACAATGACAAGACATAACTATATGACAAAGTGGGACAATGACAAGACATAACTATATGACAAAGTGGGACAATGACAAGACATAACTATATGACAAAGTGGGACAATGACAAGACATAACTATATGACAAAGTGGGACAATGGCAAGACACAACTATATGACAAAGTGGGACAATGACAAGACATAACTATATGACAAAGTGGGACAATGACAAGACATAGCTTTGTGACAAAGTGGGACAATGGCAAGACATAACTATATGACAAAGTGGACAATGACAAGACATAACTATATGACAAAGTGGGACAATGGCAAGAAATAGCTATATGACAAAGTGGAACCATGACAAGACATAGCTATATGACAAAGTGGAACCATGACAAGACAACTATATGACAAAGTGGGACAATGGCAAGACAAAACTATATGACAAAGTGGGACAATGACAAGACATAGCTTTGTGACAAAGTGGGACAATGACAAGACATAGCTATATGACAAAGTGGAACCATGACAAGACATAGCTATATGACAAAGTGGGACAATGGCAAGACAGCTATATGACAAAGTGGGACAACAGCAAGTCATATGTTATATAACAAAGTAGGGCATCCACAAACAGTTACACTACTCCTTTTGTTTTAAAGCTATTGTGTATGCACAAATTCTGCATTATAATGTACTTTTATCTTGACATCGCAATAAGTCCCCCAACCAAACCTTATTCATTAAGGTACTATGGCCATCTCAGTTTTTTCAATGTTTTTTAATGTATCGGTAATTATAATGAGACAATGAGTGGACTATATGTAGCATACCGCTGTAGACCACCAAAAAGGAGGGGGTCAAGCAAGAGTGGGTGAGAATGAGACAGAAAGATGAAGACAAGTGTGAAAGACACAGAGACTCATAAGGGCAGGTGAGAAAGACACAGAGAGACACATAAGGACAGGTCTGAAAGAAACAGAGACACATGAGGACAGGTGAGAAAGAAACAGAGACACATAAGAACAGGTGAGAAAGACACAGAGACACATAAGGACAGGTGAGAAAGACACAGAGAGACACATAAGGACAGGTCTGAAAGAAACAGAGACACATGAGGACAGGTCTGAAAGAAACAGAGACACATGAGGACAGGTGTGAAAGAAACAGAGACACATGAGGACAGGTGAGAAAGAAACAGAGACACATAAGAACAGGTGAGAAAGACACAGAGACACATAAGGACAGGTGAGAAAGACACAAGGACACATGAGGACAGGTGAGAAAGAGACAGAGACACATGAGGACAGGTGAGAAAGAAACAGAGACACATGAGGACAGGGGAGAAAGACACAGAGAGACACATAAGGACAGGTGAGAAAGACATAGAGAGACACATAAGGACAGGTGAAAAAGAAACAGAGACACATGAGGACAGGTCTGAAAGAAACAGAGACACATAAGGACAGGTGAGAAAGACACAGAGACACATAAGGACAGGTGAGAAAGAAACAGAGACACATAAGGACAGGTGAGAAAGAAACAGAGACACATGAGGACAGGTGAGAAAGACACAGAGACAAATAAGGACAGGTGAGAAAGAAACAGAGAAACATGAGGACAGGTGAGAAAGAAACAGAGACACATGAGGACAGGTGTGTACAGATGTAGAGGTTTACACTGAGGAGATAAATGGCTGGCACTAGTGATGAAGAACTTGAAATTGACTTGATATCTATCTCCAGCAGTGTGTCTGTCTTCAGCTCACAAGAAGAAACAATAGGTTCACCAAATCTTCCAAAACATTCTGTAAGATAATTCATCTTGCACTTTAAAAAGTCTTATCAACAGCAGAAATTTGTTTTCATAATATTTCAGAACAAGTGATTGGTAAATATTTGTTTTTGAACACTGTACCTTGCTTCAACTCAATAGTACCTCGCCTGGGAAGTACCTCTCTTGAACAGTAACTAACTTAAACACTACTTCAATTGAACCGTACCTATAAATTGAACAGTACCTAACTTGAACAGGGCCTCGCTTGAGAAGTACATATTTTGAACAGTACTGGTACCTCACTTAACCTTAGTTTGTTTTCATTCATTTTATCTTGATCATGATGCCAGTAACATGCTGCTATAGGGAAGAAGATCCTCCGAGTACTAACCTTCCTCAGCAAGACTGATGTCGACATCACTGAAGGCTGGATTAGACACGCCCCCCTCTGGAGACGGGACATCCCTCACTTCTTGTAAATGGTTTTTCTTCGAAGGTGTGCCAGGGGGACTGGACAGGCCTGAAACACAGAAACAGCGGTGAATCTACTGTCAAACAGTTAATTCAGGAAGAAAGTCTAGACCAGAACATACACAAAATATGTAGATAATACATTAATATTGAATCCATCAGAATTGTTCAGATGAACCCCTTGGTATAAACCATCAGGATGTACAATCAAGACAAACATGCACTCTTTGTGTGAACCATTTTTTGTTTGTTTGTTTGGGTTTTACATCCTATTAACGGCTATGTTCATTTAAGGACGTGCCAGGTTTTGGTGGTGGAGGAAAGGCAGAGTACGCGGAGAAAAACCACTGACCTTGTGGCCAGTACCTGGCACCTGCCCTACGTAGGTCTCAAACCAGACATCCAGTGGTGCTCAGGGCTAGTGGTAGCAGAATGTCAGACGCATTAACCACTCGGCCACTGCGGCCCCTATGTGAACCATCTTATGTTGTCACCCATGTATACAGCTAGGTAGACTTGAGTTATAAAGCTGATAGTATATGTAGGCTACACATTTTACCTGAGACTTGAGTTTGTGATGTCACTTATAGTAATTACCTGTTTATAGCATCACTTATTATAAGTTCTATATTAGTGCTATAAACGCATGCTTAATCCTGTGTATCTTTCATTTTTATTAACAAAGTCCTAATTATACCCATCCTAAAAGATATGATTATCGTATCTTACAAGTAAAATTCTATGAAGAGGAACTCTTTTTGAAAGAACATGACGTCAGTTATTTATATCCAGTAGCATGTATCATTCAAAGCATGGTAATCGAACCATACTCATATTTCTAAACATGAAGAAGGAAATACAAACTGAATTTTATTAAACCTCATAATTTTACTTCAAAGGACCAATCCATCTAAACAGGATAATCACAGACTATTAAGATTGCTTTTAAATGTTCGTGTTCTATTTGTACAAGTGTTGTTACCTATTGAAAGAGAAATATAATTAAAAGCAGGTTGATTTTAATACTAGTCAAATAGGCAAGAGCTTAAAAAGGAAAACAAAGTAAAAATCTTTAATTTCACTGCAATAAACACGGACATAAATATCTAAAAAAAAATCTTACACATCTTACAATTCCCGAAAAGGAAGTAACAAGTTCACAGAACTGTTCACATTTTCAGGAAAAGGAAGCCATTTCAACAGACAAGATTATATGCTTTCAAAACACATGTCAACTTGCCTTCTTCCTTAATTTATATTTCCTGTAAAGTGTCAGGTTATACAATAGTGTATTATTCTTTACAAGGAGCACTGGAAATTAACTATATAACACACGTTTATACAGTAGCAGCTGTCATCCTTAGAGTTTCAAGTTTTTGAAGTTAATGTCACATGAAAAAATCAAAACTATTGTCACATGACAAGTTTAAATTTATTGTCACACAGCAGTTTTCAAAGGAACTGTCACATGACAGGGTTTACAGATACTGTCACATGACAGGGTTTACAGGTAATGTCACATGACAGGGTTTACAGGTAATGTCACATGGCAGGGTTTACAGGTAATGTCACATGACAGGGTTTAAAGGTAACTGTCACGTGACAGGGTTATAATGTTACTGTCATAAAGCAGGGTTTAAAGAAACTTTCCTGTGACAGGTTAAAAGGAACTATAGCTATCACATGGCAGATTTCAAAGGTACTGTCATATACAGCTGTAGCAGGTTTTAAAGCTGTAGTCACATGACAAGTTTTTTTTAAAGTTATGGTCACATGACAAGTTTTTTATGTTTTTGTAACATTGCAGGTTTAAAGCTACTGCCACATTGCAGGTTTTCACACTTGACAATGCCTATCAAATCAAACATGGATAGAAATACACCCAAAAGATAAAAGGTCAAACAGATATTGGGCCCTACATCAATAACTCCGATATACTTGATCCCCGGCCTTTACACACCGTACACAGCCTGTACATAAGGATGGAGGTATTGATGGAACCTGCCTTTTAACTCATTGATCCTATACTTATCACTAAGCCACTAGAATTCATCATTTAATCATATATAAATCCATACCTCAATACCAGGAATATACACCAGACACTATGTGATGGAGTGTGTCTGAGAACCGCTACCTAAAGAACCCAAATATATAAGCATGTCTATAAAATAGGCTAAGGTGGGCTATCAATCCTGGCTAAACCTTTGTAACATAAATTCTTTGGTACAGAAATGATTTACACAAATATTAATTTTGCCTTATATTGATTGAATAATGCAAAACCAGTCCTCAGGTGATTAGTATCTTTTATGATTATGATTTAATATTATGAAGTAAATGTGTAGTTCTTCTTTAATTGATAAATATTCTTAAATCTAGCAAACGATACTGCAGATTAAAATGCAAGAATTCTACATGTTGGTGTGAAACCTCAAGATTGAGAAAACACTATAGGTTAACATGTCTCTTTTTTCATTTTTCAATTTTTAAAGAAATATTTATATGTATGTAATATACATTTTTGTACTAGAACCATTACTTCTTTCTTTTGAGGAGTAGCAATGTATTGTCACCAGATCAATTACTGTAACTGTATTGCCTCAGCTCTGAGTGATCGAAGCACATTCACAATTATGTTAAGGCTTAAGTATGCAATAGAGCCCTATGATATATAACCTAAATAGCTCCCTAGGTGCTTAGCAATTTGGGAAATCTGCATGATTGCAGAACATTCCAAAATCAAAAAAAAGAAAAAAATCAAATAAAAGACTTTTTTATTTCAAGCAAACTTGTTAAGAAATATGAAACATATACAGGATGCTCAGACAAGAAAAGTGCTCTTTTCAGAGATGATAACCTGCCTAGGTGTATGTCCCATCCAATGATAACCTGCCTCGGTGTATGTCCCATCCAATGATTACCTGCCTAGCTTTATGTCCCATCCAATGATAACCTGCCTAGGTTTATGTCCCATCCAAAGATAACCTGCCTAGGTGTACGTCCCATCCAATGATAACCTGCCTAGGTTTATGTCCCATCCAATCATAACCTGCCTAGGTTTATGTCCCATCCAATGATAACCTGCCTAGGTGTATGTCCCATCCAATGATAACCTGCCTAGGTGTATGTCCCATCCAATGATAACCTGCCTAGGTGTATGTCCCATCCAATGATAACCTGCCTAGGTGTATGTCCCATCCAATGATAACCTGCCTAGGTGTATGTCCCATCCAATGATAACCTGCCTAGGTGTATGTCCCATCCAATGATAACCTGCCTAGGTGTATGTCCCATCCAATGATAACCTGCCTAGGTGTATGTCCCATCCAATGATAACCTGCCTAGGTGTATGTCCCATCCAATGATAACCTGCCTAGGTGTATGTCCCATCCAATGATAACCTGCCTAGGTGTATGTCCCATCCAATGATAACCTGCCTAGGTGTATGTCCCATCCAATGATAACCTGCCTAGGTGTATGTCCCATCCAATGATAACCTGCCTAGGTGTATGTCCCATCCAATGATAACCTGCCTAGGTGTATGTCCCATCCAATGATAACCTGCCTAGGTGTATGTCCCATCCAATGATAACCTGCCTAGGTGTATGTCCCATCCAATGATAACCTGCCTAGGTGTATGTCCCATCCAATGATAACCTGCCTAGGTGTATGTCCCATCCAATGATAACCTGCCTAGGTGTATGTCCCATCCAATGAGAACCTGCCTAGGTGTATGTCCATTTAATGAGAATTAGTCATTCCCGGTTTTTGTCTTACCAGGTAAATAAGGTTATGAAAACTGATCCGTCATTATTCCAACATTATCTTGGAATCCTGCCTGAATCCAGACCTAAGGTGTCAATGTGTGCAGTATTAGGCATGGAGTCAAGATTTAAAAGATAGTTTGTGAACAGGCTTTCTTAAAAAAGATTGATTCCTTAAGAGCAATTGAAAAAAAGAAAATTGTGCAGCAGAATGTACACGAATCTGTTCAGAAATTAAACACTTTTGATTAACTTTGTAATTCATGTACAAATTGTTAACTAAAATACTTCTCACAATTTTTGCTTTGGCAAATTTAAAACCATATGTTCATACATTTCAAGGAGGAGAAAGTGAACATAGATATAAATTTGGTCCAGGACCAGCCATCCCTAATCCTATGGAATATTATTCCACTTGAATGCATGCCATCATTGATACAATATAATCAGCCATTGAACTAATGTTCCACCCACACAATCATTATCCTAGCCCCAGCGTCACGGATGATCATACATGAATAAAACCTGGGGTCACAGGTATCCATGCATGTATGAACCATGGGGTCACAGGTATCCATGCATGTATGAACCGCAGGGTCACAGGTATCCATGCATGCATGAACCCTGTGTCCTTCAGTACATTGAGATTTAAATCAGGGAGCATCACAGCTGAATGTAGACTTGATGGCTGACTGTAACAGGCTATCACACTTCCTACAGACAATCGGAGAGTTTTATCTCCCTTACAAATCAAATCTGCTCTACTTAATGTATAGCTATCAATAACTAAAGCATTTATCAATGAATGAAAACAAAATTGTGTAAATATCATAGTACAATCAAATGTGCCCTTGCTAAGATTAAGAGACAGCCCTTGCTAAGATTAAAAGACAGACTCATCAAATATCAAATTAAACAGCAATATTTACTTAGTTTACAACTATACATTTCTTTACACAATACAAGCAAACTATATAATTTGATTTTTGAACAACCTTGTGTAATGACCTTGTAAAATCTCAACTGATTGACGGAAATAATTTATTTTTAATTTCACACACAGCATGTTTGCCTCATCAGGCTGTGTCTTCATATCCTGTTGATTAATTCTCCTCATTACAGTAAATACACACTCTTGGGTATGGCATGTAGTTCATTAAGTTACAAACAGAGCATGTAGTTCAGCATGTCACAGGTAGTTCAGCATGTCACAGGTAGTTCAGCAAGTCACAGGTAGTTCAGCAAGTCACAGGTAGTTCAGCATGTCACAGGTAGTTCAGCA